AGGGAGGGGGAGCATGAGAGCAGAGAGGGAGGGGGAGCATGAGAGCAGAGAGGGAGGGGGAGCATGAGAGCAGGGAGGGAGGGGGAGCATGAGAGCAGGGAGGGAGGGGGAGCATGAGAGCAGAGAGGGAGGGGGAGCATGCGAGCAGAGAGGGAGGGGGAGCATGAGAGCAGGGAGGGAGGGGGAGCATGAGAGCAGGGAGGGAGGGGGAGCATGAGAGCAGGGAGAGAGGGGGAGCATGAGAGCAGAGAGGGAGGGGGGGCATGAGAGCAGAGAGGGAGGGGGAGCATGAGAGCAGAGAGGGAGGGGGAGCATGAGAGCAGGGAGGGAGGGGGGGCATGAGAGCAGGGAGGGAGGGGGAGCATGAGAGCAGGGAGGGAGTGAGGCATGAGAGCAGGAGTGAGTGAGTGAGGCATGAGAGCAGGGAGGGAGTGAGGCATGAGAGCAGGAGGGTAGGGAGGGCGGAAGGTAAGGAGGAAGGTTGCAGCTGCCCGCTTCCCGCCTCCCGCTGTGTCCTGCTGCGCACTTCTAGCTTCCCGCTTTCCCGCTCCGTGCTTCCCTGATGTTTCCCGACTGCCCGCTCTGCCCTTCCCTGCTCGGGTTTTGCATTGGAAGGGTTTGTGTGGGCCTGGATATGGGTAAGCTTTCGTATGTGTGGGCATGAAGAGGTGCAAGCATGTACCCCGTCTTTTCCCTGAATGTCCTTCCCATGTTTCTCATCCTGTGCTCCCTCCCTCCCTGCTCCCTCCCTCCCCTTCCCTCATCCCTTGCTTCCCTCTGCCCCAACTCGCAGTGCCATTCCAGCTGCATCCATCATGGCCGTCAGACTTCTCACCATTACACAACGGCCCTCGAACCACGCTTCATGCTTGGTGGTTTCGAGTTGTCATGCAAAGCTGACCTGCATGATGATATGCTTGCGTGTCACACTGTAAGACTAATGACCCACATTAGGTTATGTTGTGAAATTATCCTTCCAACCTGCTATGCACCTCAACAAATGTTGGCCTTGTGTGACACGTTGTCCTACACTACACATCATGGATACGGAAGTGTAGACCCCTGTCAACACTATCGACCCCTCTCTGGTGCACGCTTATGTGCACTGCTACCACTGCCACTCTTCTCCTCATGTGACATGGGGCTGGATGGGGGAAAGGGGGATGGAAAGGTAGAACAGAGGAGGGAGAGCATTCTGAGTGCAAGGCATACAGCACAACAGATAGGGGGGACGAATACAGGCGGTAAGCACACAGGGACGAAGAATGTAGGCCGAAAGCACACTGGAAGGAAGAATGCAGGAGGAAAGCACACTGGGAAGAATAATGCAGGGGGAAAGCACACAGGGAGGAAGAATGCAGGGGGAAGGCAAACAGGGAGGAAGAATGCAGGGGGAAAGCACATAGGGAGGAAAAATGCAGGGGGAAAGCACACAGGGAGGAAGAATGTAGGGTGAAAGCACACAGGGAGGAAGAATGCAAGGGGAAGGCACACGGGAAGGAAGAATGCAGGGGGAAAGCACACGGGGAGGAAGAATGCAAGGAGAAAGCACACAGGGAGGAAGAATGCAGGGGGAAAGCACACAGGGAGGAAAAATGCAGAGGGAAAGCACACAGGGAGGAAAAATGAAAGGGGAAAGCACACAGGCAGGAAGAATGCAGGAGGAAAGCACACAGGGAGGAAGAATGCAGGGGGAAAGCACACAAGGAGGAAGAATGCAGAGGGAAAGCACACATGGAGGAAGAATGCAGGAAGAAAGGACACAGGGAGGAAGAATGCAGGGGGAAAGCACACAAGGAGGAAGAATGCAAGGGAAAAGCACACAGGGATGAAGAATGCAGGGGGAAAGCACACAGGGAGGAAGAATGCAAGGGGAAAGCACACAGGGAGGAGGAATGCAAAGGGAAAGAACCCAGGGAGGAAGAATGCAGGGGGAAAGCACACAGGTAGAAAGAACTGGACACCCAAATACATATTACCACCACCCATTCTATATCCCCTCCATGTGACCTCTCACTCGCTCCTCATCCCCCTCCCACTCGCTCTGCATCCCCCTCTCACTCGCTCCTCATCCCCCTCCCACTCGCACTGCATCCCCCTCTCACTCGCTCTGCATCCCCCTCTCGCTTGCTCTGCATCCCCCTCTCGCTCGCTCTGCATCCCCCTCTCGCTCGCTCTGCATCCCCCTCTCACTCACTCTGCATCCCCCTCTCTCTCGCTCTGCATTCCCCTCTCACTCACCCTGCGCTGTCGGTCGTGGATGCGTCGCGGATATGCCTCTGGGCGGTCGTTCCTTTTGGTATAATGCCCTAACTGGAATAGCGCTGCCTCTCGCTCTATTTTGAGCGCCATTGCCAGCCGACTTTGCGTTTGCTCTCATATACACCCGCTACGCCTAGGTGAACGCGTGTGCTTATCTCGAATGGCGTGCCATTTTGGGATCCACCGATATTAGACCTGCGCGAAATATATCCAACGATAGAAGGCCTGCATGCGATGATTTATTGATATCCGCCGAGAAATAGACTGGGTGTGAGCCTACTTTGAGTTGCTGGCAAAAAAAGAACACCACGCTACAAGAAGTCTCGATATTGCATGCGTATGGGCTGCTGTGTTGTGGCTGGTTGATGTTGTTGTCGAGAAGTTAGGCTAGGTAGGAATAGGTGAAGCCATGAATATGGCGTAAGATCTAGATCTAAGAGGTAGGCGAGAATGTTGAGAGAAAAGAGGGCTAGGAAAGAAGAGAGAGGGATATAAGGAGGGGTGTTGTACCCTCTACAGTAATGTTCAGTAACATCTACCAAGCCTACACTTATATAATAACTTATATAATTTAACACACCCCCTAGGCTTGGTAGTAGAAGGACCCACATACCCCCACACCCCCTAACCTAGCACCCCAATTCCCATCAGCCATGACGACTCCAACAGGGCCAACCCCAAGGCCTTGGAGATGGTGACGGCGGCAGTCCCGGCAGCGGCGACAGCGACGGCGATGACGGGCATACGGCGGCAACGGGCATGCGGCGACCACAGCGGCAACGCCGACGGCTTCGGCTTACGACGGCGGTGGCGGCAGCGGCCCCTGCCCTTCTGGCGGCGTGTCCAAACTCCGCACCAGGGGAACGACCGGCGAGAGTCTGACGACGGCGGCTGTGACAAAGAGGAGGGGACAGAGGAAAGCGGGAAGGGGCGGGGCTTCGATCTTCAGCGCGGCGCCATTGCTGGCGCGGCGCTTACTGGCGAGCGGGCGGGCTGCATTTCCAGCGGCGATGCAGGTCGTGCACGACGGCAACTGGCCGACGTCGCAGCCACGGCACCATGACGGCGCCACCACAGCGTGGCGTCGTCGCCGCTGCTGCTCGTCGACGCTGGGCCGACAGCACGCAGGGGCCGCCACAGCATCTTGGAAACGGTTCCACGGCGGCAGGCAGTAGGAAGGCCGCGACGGCGGCAAACGGATTGAAGGCCGCGACAGCGGCACGGTAAGGACGAGTACACGGCGGAAGCGTGGAGAGCAAGCCCGGGAAGGGCGTCCTGCTCTGATACCATGTCGATAAGTTAGACTAGGTAGGAATAGGTGAAGCCATGAATATGGCGTGAGATCTAGATCTAGGAGGTAGGCGAGAATGTCGAGAGAAAAGAGGGTTAGGAAAGAAGAGAGAGGGATACAAAGAGGGGTGTTGTACTCTTTACAGTAATGTTCAGTAACATCTACCAAGCCTACACTAATAACTTATATAATTTAACAGCTGTGACGCGTTAGCTTAGTTTGTGTGCTGCTGTGACAGTGTTGCTGTCGATCATCTGTTGTGCTTCACTTGTTTTCCTTCCCCAGCCTCGTTTGAGTTTTGGTTAATGAACTTCAAATTTGCATTTGCAAGTTTCGCAAACCAATTTCCAGACTTTGAGCTCTCGCCATTCCCGCAGCCAATCGCAAGCCAATAGCCCCAACCCAAGCCGCGCTCTCTTTTCGCGACTTGTAACTTGGGACCTGGGCTTTTAAAAACGTGAACTTTTTGCGCAGGTCCTAATAGACGCGGATTTTCGGGTTACCATGCCTGAATTCTGTAATTGTCAACTGAATAGTATAGGAACGCGTTGAACAAGCCCTTACCCTACTCTTATCCCAAGGAACATCAAACACGTACAAAATACAATTAGTGGTAAGAAAGCAAACTAGCAGTAATAAAACAAGGCATTCAAAAATGCTCCCCCCATCGCCGACATGTCATTCAAAACAAACGAGTGCGGAATATGGGGGATAACTTTTTTATAGTAAATTCAGCAGCGTAACGTAAGGAGATATATTTCAGCTTATCCATTGAGGCATTTCCACCTCACTGTCAACCCGGTCAACGGATGATGGATGCTTCTCCCAGTCATTACGGGGATAGACTAGTGTGTCGAGAGGCAAATTTGAAAATCGATTGCACCGCTGGTGCGATTCCCCTGGCAAATCCCACATGTACGGACGGAGCGCACGGATTTGGGAAGGAGCTCCCTTCCCTTCCTGCAGTGTCAAACCCTTGACTCGCGATTTCGCAAAGCGCAGTCCAGGGTGGCCCTCGCCTCTGGTTACATTGACTCGAATCAGAAACTTGTCGCAAACACATCAACCCAAGCAGAGATGGACGCAATCCAGGGTCGCCGTGGCCTGGTTACACGAACGTGAATCAGAAACTCGTCGCAAAGACATGAAGCCAAGCAGAGATGGATGAGGGTGCTGGTTTGGGGGAGGGCAAAAAAGTCCCCCCACCACAATCGCCCCACCGCCATTCTCAAACTAGCACGAGAGGGGGATTTTCTCAACTCGTAGTTCTTGCTTCTTGCTATGTACCTGACTCGTCCTTTCGTTGCTGTTCTCGCACCCATTCGACCTCAGGTCGCAAAACTGTCAATCTGACCACTCGCCTCGGTCGCAAAACCAGCGTCGCTTTCGTTTCGCGACCAGCTCTACTTGAAACCTAAAAATACGCGGTTCTTTTGTGTTAACAGCGCCAGAGGCAAAGCAGGGTATCTTAGCCGGAACCGGGGGCTCTGAAAAGGGAAAACGGCTTTACATACGTAACTCGTTTGCATGGGAGGACGAACGCACCGCCGACGGCCAAACTCGAAGTCACCGTGATTGGCGTCCTGCGCCAGATTGAACGATTCACCTCGCCATGGAGCCGCGCTCAGCGCTCGGCGCGCTGCTGCTTCTGATGTGTCTCGCGGTCTCAAGAGTCGAAAGCACTCCCCTCGCCAACTCTCAAGGTCTGTCCGTTACCCGTTAAAACTCTGAAAGGGCGTTGGTCCCAACAAGCATGTCTCTACAGGTTCTGCAACATTTAATACACAATGTCGCATAAACTTTCACAATGTCACAATGAACCAGTACGATGTACTAGGCCCAGGCCCTCGAAATCCTGGAACCACTTGGTTTCTGGTCGATTTTCTTATCTAAAACTATTAGGTTTTATATCAGAAGGTTTTTCAGCAAATGAGCTAGCGGGAGAAAAGCACACGGTCCTGCCCTGGAACTTTCAGACGGATGCGCATATGGATTCTGTTAGCGGCGGACATATGATTTCAGCATCCTACTGAATTATTTCTGCCCCCCAGCATTGGAGGCTTCAACCGTACTTCGACGTAGCATTATAATGTAGCACGTGCGCGAGATCCCACGGATCCGTGAGTCTGCTTTTGAGGCGACTCAAAAGCGTCGACGCAGCATGATAATGTGGCACCCACCTTCCCGCTCCTCCTAGGACCGTTTTCAGGAAATGGAAGAAACGTTGCAAGTGGAAGAAGCAAACTGATTAGTTTTGAGGCGCCTCAAAACTAGAGTTTTATCACGCGGTTTTTGAGGCGCCTCTAACTAGACTCCTGTAACACACACCCACCATCCAGCTTCTCTTAGGACCGCTTCTAAGAAATGGGAGAAACTTTGCACTTGGAAGAAACGGAGTGAATCGATGACGGCCAACGCTTGGATATGGAATGAGAGTCAAGTGTTCCAATCCCTTCCCCCACCCCCCCCCCCCGCCCCTTCCCCCCCCACCACCCCCCCCTCCCCCTTCGTCGTCGTCGTCGTCGCCGTCCTCCTCCTCCTCCTCCTCCTCCTCCTCCTCCTCCTCCTCCTCCTCCTCCTCCTCCTCCTCCTCCTCCTCCTCCTCCTCCTCCTCCTCCTCCTCCTCCTCCTCCTCCTCCTCCTCCTCCTCCTCCTCCCCCCAGCGCAATTCTTGGTGGACTGTCAGGCAGTATGGGGCGCAATGATCGACGGCTGGGAGGCTGGCAAGGACTGCAGCGCTGCGAGCCTTATCATCTGTGATGCCCAAGGCATGATAACAGAGATGTGAGTGAACCCTTCAGCGTGCTCACCTAGCCTCGAATGCACTACATTCTTTCTCTCGAGGTGACTTTTGAGTCGACTCAAAAGTCACCTCTTTCTCTCCCTCTCCCCTTCCTGCACATACCTCTCCACCCCGCTCCCTCCATCCCCTCGCTTCCATCTTCTAAACATTTCGTGTTTCTTAAGTGGCTCGCAGCGCCAGCAGCCCCCCAGCGCCCCGCAGAATTCACTCCGTTCCTCCTGGCCTGTCCACTCCTCTGCACTCCTCTCCACTCCTCTCCGCTCCTCTCCACTCCTCTCACTCTACACAAACCTTTCAGCCTTCCTTACGGCTTGTCTTCTCCCTTTTCACTTTTCCACCACACATGGATTCCACCTCGTGGCCCATTATGCACCTTAGTAGCTTTTGATTCGACTCAAAAGTCGCCTCCTCACCGTTCGTCCTCTCCCCTCTCACCGTCCATTCCGCCACACATGCACTCCACGTCATGACCCATTAGGTACCTTAGTGGGATCAGCTTGACCGGAACCATCCCACCAACCATTGGCAGCTTGACCAGCCTGTCACATTTGTCAGTATCTCTCCTTGATACCCTTAAGCTACCAACTCTTGTTTTCGGATACCATGCCCATTCTTTGCTTTAAACGGGAAAAAGAGGGCTCGAAAACTAGATGCAGTCGGTTCATGCTTGAGTGTGTGATTATAACCCAACGTGATTATAACCCAACATGCTTGAGTGTGATTATAACCCAACTGGAGAACACAACTTAGGCAGAAAACAGAAAAGGCAGAAAGAAGGAGCACACGGGCTCCGTTGACATTTCTTGGCTGTGTTGGTGCAAAAGCCATGCTTATTGCCAGGTCCTAGGCATTGCTTGTTGCACAATTTCCTCATTCGTCTTCCCCCTTCCTTCAAACCACCAAAGATTACTACTTCCTTCAAACCACCAAAGATTACTACTTCCTTCAAACCACCAAAGATTGCTACTTCCTTCAAACCACCAAAGATTACTACTTCCTTCAAACCACCAAAGATTACTACTTCCTTCAAACCACCAAAGATTACTACTTCCTTCAAACCACCTTTCATTCGCCTTCCCATTCTGTGTCGTACTAGGGATTTGGCATGGAATAAGCTAACCGGATCTATTCCACCAACCATTGGCAACTTGACCAACCTGGCATATCTGTCAGTATCCCACATTGGCGCATTGAAATAAATCTCTCGTTGTTACTTTATGCTGAAAGACAAATCGAGGGCTTCGTTGTTATTTCCTTTTCTGCAAATTTGTGGCAATATAGATGCATGAACGACTAATGCTTCCCAAAAAGGGAGGCAAATGAGGGCTCTATTTTCGCTCTTAGTTACCCATTTTGCAGCTCATCACCTTCCAGTCCTGCTTTCTTTATCCCTCCAACCATGGTGGGGATGGCTCCTTCCTTTTAGCCCTGCTTTCTGTATCCCTCTAACCATGGAGGGGATGGCCCCTTAGTTCCAGTCCTGCTTTCTTTATCCCTCCAACCAACCATGATGGGGATGGCTCCTTTCTTTCAGTCCTGCTTTCTTTATCCCTCCAACCATGGAGGGGAAGGCTCCTTACTTTTAGTCATGCTTTCCTCATCCCTTCAACCACGGAGGGGATGGCTCCTTACTTCTATTCCTGCTTTCTTTATCCCTTCAACCATGGAGGGGATGGCTCCTTACTTTTAGTCATGCTTTCCTCATCCCTTCAACCATGGAGGGGATGGCTCCTTACTTCTATTCCTGCTTTCTTTATCCCTCCAACCATGTTGTCCATCTTGTGTCTTAGCAGGGATTTGTCAGGGAATAACTTGACCGGATTTATTCCAGCAACCATTGGCAAATTGACCAACCTGAAGTATTTGTCAGTACCCAATGTTGAGAAGCATGCCATGCTTCATGCTGCCATATTTCATGTTTCATGTTGCCAGATATCATGTTTCATGCTTCCATATCTCATGTTTCACGCTGCCAGATCTCATGTTTCATGTTGCCAGATCTCATGTTTCATGCTGCCATATCTCATGTTTCATGTTGCCAGATCTCATGTCTCACGCTGGCAGATCTCATGTTTCATGCTGGCAGATGGCATATTTCTTGCTAGTGCATACCATATTTCATAATGGTGCATGGTATATTACCGCATGCCTCTCGGTGTCCCACTCGGTGTTTCTTGCGACTCACTTGGATAAGTCCCATTGGTATTTGACAACTTGATGAATCTGACAGATTTGTGTCCACTAATTGGCACACATTTCTTTTCATACTTGCGGCATTTCTCTTGCTAGTAACTATACTGCATTTTTATGGACACACTTGTAAAAGGTCGTTGCATACACACCCATAAAAGCCAAGACCATTGAAAACATGTTTTTATCAGCACCTTGATTTCCTTGGAGAACTTATGCACTCCATTTCCATGTGCAGCTATATTGATGGAACGGCACTGGAATGTCTTTTGAGTCGACTCAAAAGATTATGCACTCCATTTCCCTGTGCAGCTATGTTGATGGAACGGCACTGGGATGTCTTTTGATTCGACTCAAAAGATTATGCACTCCATTTCCCTGTGCAGCTATATTGATGGAACGGCACTGGAATGTCTTTTGAGTCGACTCAAAAGATTATGCACTCCATTTCCCTTTGCAGCTATATTGATGGAACTGCACTGGAATGTCCGCCGGACTACGATAGCTGTGGGGTCCAATGGAATAACACTTCAAGTGCCTTCTGTCAAAGATGCCTCTCCTTCTGCAGCACCTGTAACAAGCCCGCCTTTCCATGTGAGCTTGACTCATAAGTTTTGGACATGCCCACGTAAGCACGTGTCATCTTGCAGCACTTGGGACGAGCGTGACTCATTACACGAGCAAAACCACCTGTGGATAAAGTGTCTTCAGAAACGCTCTTGCCTTGTAGTTCGACCCCTTCGCAACACTTGGTGTCACAAGTTGAGGCCCCTCCCTAAGCTCCCCCCCTCCCGCCTTCCTTCCCTCCCCCCCTCCCTCCCCTCCCCCTTCCTTCCCCCTATCCAGCGTCCCCTTCCCCAAAGCCTTCCTCCCAGTCTGAAAGTCATTTACCAATGGGAGTCATTGCTGGCTGTGCTGCTGCTGCTGCTGGCGTGCTTGCCCTAGTGCTGGTATACGTTGTCGTGGTGCTCTATAGGCGAGGCAAAAGGAAAGGAGAACGAAAAGCAGCGACAAGAGCCTGCCTAAGGGGTGGAGCAAGGAGCAGCACAGAGAGGAGCGCACTGAGCAGCACACAAACCAGCACACGGACCAACACGAAGACCGGCACACAGAGCAGCACAAGAAGCAGCACAGAGAAGGAGAGCAAGGATCCGGTTGTAGTCCTGAAGCTCCAAGGTGAGAATTCTGCGAGTTCTTTCCTCTCTATCCTCTACCTTCCTCTGTAAATCATGCTCGCGCGCATTTATACACTCGGCATAATATATCACCCGTACGCTCATTTGAAAGCACCCACTGATTTGCATATTCGCTCTTGCTTTCCTAATTAGAACACCCTTTTCAATATGCAGAGATTCATCAGGAGGGAAACAACTCCGAAGATGCCGCGGCAGCAGCGGCGGCAGCGGCAGCGGCGGCGGCAGCAGCAGCAGCAGCAGGGCATGGCAGTGATGTGGTGGTGGAGATGGAGGCAGCGCGGCCACATGTGTGCCAGGAGTACTCTCTGGAAGATCTGGCAAAGGCAACAGCAAATTGGGCAGAGGAGTATAGGATTGGCAGCGGCAGCTTTGGTGATGTCTACAAGGGCGTGTCTCCTCATAACTCTCGTCAGATGTGGGCAGTCAAACGAGCCAGAGTACTCACTAATGACTTCCAGATCGAGGTATCCTCATCTTGGATCAACCTCTTTTGTAGAAGTTGTTTGTTTATTTATCGTGGATTCTCTTATATCTTGTTTGTGGTTTTATTCCTGCCAAGTGTCCCCATACTGGATCGTCCCCACTCACCCACCCACCCATCTACCCACCCTTCTTCCTCTTCCAGGTGAAGGAGATGGCTAGCAAGCACCACCCCCATCTTGTGCGGCTGCTTGGCTATTGTATGGATGTGAACTCAACCACGAAACACATAGAGCAGATTTTGGTTTACGAGTACATGGAGAACAATGACCTTGAGAGCTGGATCGGCCCAGGAGTTTGCCGTCCTTTTTCTCTACGGAAGCGGCTGGACGTTCTGATCGGGGTGGCAAAGGGGCTGCAGTACCTTCATGACTTTGGCATTGTGCATCGCGACATCAAGCCAGCCAACATTCTCCTCGATGCCAAAATGCAGGCATGATTCAACTTGTTGCACTGTATTGAGCCCACTATTTCCTTTCGATACTAGCTTTTATTTTCTCTTGCATTTATTTCACCACCTTCATGCCTTTTTCACGCAACCATATCGCCACCAGTTAGCTGCACAAGGATGTCACAGCCTCCTTGTGCATGTATGCTCGTTTGTTATGTGAGCAGGCCAAGATTGCAGACTTTGGGCTGGTGAAGCTGAGTGGAGGTACCTGCATGGGCACCTCTCTTGTGGCCACTCGAGTGATGGGAACACCAGGCTATGTGGACCCCGCCTACTACAAGACACACAAGGCTACTCCGGCAGTAGACGTGCACAGGTGCGCAAGTGTATGCAGAATAAAAAGACAAGTCCATGGGGTGATACTCGTTATTATTTGTGCTATAATGAGCATGCAAGCTTATAGTACAGTGTTTCTCAAAATAGCCGATTTTTGAGGCGCCTCAAAAAAGGTTTCTCAAAATAGCCCCCTTCATGGAATGTCCTTCCCAACATTTGCAGCTTTGGAGTGGTGATGATGGTGGTCATCACGGCACACAATGTTCATATTCTGTGGTCTATTTGTGGCCCTTTGTGGTCGATTTTTTTTCAAAAACTGGCAGCTTTGGAGTGGTGATGCTGGTGGTCATCACGGCACGCAAAGCCGTGCATATGACAGAGGACAGCCAGGTCAACCTCAAGCAATGGGTGGGTTTCACAAGTATCATGCAACCACATGTTTAAGTAATACGACTTTAAGACAAGGAAAAGTCTTCGAGAATAAAACTGATTTATGCTTTCGCAAAGTCGTTTTTATCATTTTGCTTTGCCCTGAGGACCGATCACTTTCCATGCAATCCCACCCCAGGAGATCACTTTGCATCCCCTTCCCCTTCCCCTTCCCCATCCCCTTCCCCTCCAGGTGGCTCCACTGGTGGCGTCCAGCGCCGTGGCGGCATTCAAGGACCCTCGTTTGGATGCACCAGATGACTTGGTGCTGCGCATGGCTCGCCTTGCCCTCACCTGCACTGCCATGCCCACTGCCTCCCGCCCCACCATGGGTCGAGTGCTGGGAGATCTGCTGGCGTTGAGGGAGGAGGTGCTTGGTGGTGAGGCGCACACAGCTGCACGCTGCATTGACAGGGAGATAGGTGCCTCAGATGACTCTGACTTCACTGCTCAGATGGCTAGAGCGGAGCAGATGGGCGGGCAAAGTGGCTCGTCTACTAGTGTGTGATTTGGACGAGGTGCTCGGGGCTGAGGCACACAGAGCTGCGCGCTGCATTGACAGGGAGATTGGCGCCTTAGCTGACTCCGGCTTTGCTGCTCAGATGGCATGAGCACTGAGCAGATGGGCGGATGGGGGGGCAAAGTGGGTAAAGTGGGACTTGAAAGGCACACTTGGTTAGGTAGTATCTAGCAGCTGCCATGTTTAGAGATTATGGTTTCTTCATTCCTGTGTTGTTACCTTGTCTTTCATTTTGCTGTTACCTGTCCCTCCCACCCCATCCACCTTGTGCTTCACCTGTCTACCCTTCACATCATCAGCTACAACAAGCTCGGTGTTTTGTTCAAATCAAATAATGCTGTAACCTCTTGATGAACACTTCAGTGTGTTCTACCCATTCACAGAGGGTTTGAGTGTTCAAGAACGATAGTATAGGGTTCCGAAAAAGTCAGCGGTGCAAAATTTGCAGTGACTTTGTGGTAATATGGGAGTCACCACATGTATTCTCACCACACCACACTGTACTCCCCAGCTCATCCTCAGCTCATCCCAATGGAATCTCCCAGATCCATCCATCCATCCCAAAACTCCGCCCTCAGCTCGCCCAACTGCCTCATCTCCTGCCCTCCTGTGTCCCCTCCCCCCTCCCCGCATCCAACGCCTCATCCAGTGCTCTCCTGTGCACAACCTCCACCCCATCTCCCAGCCATCTGCCCTCGTGAACATTCTCACTCTACGATCCCCTTCCTCTTCCCCAGTTCACCTCAACACCTTTCTCAGCTCGCCCACAGACTCCCCAACACCTCCTCCACCGCCCTTCTGTGTGCGATCTCCACCGTCCATTCCCCGGCCTTGTGCCCCTTGAATATTTGCGCCTCCCTCTGCTCTGGGGTCAAACTCGCCGCAGTGCCGTCAGTGTGGTGCACCGGCATGGGCTGCAGCCCCATGGGCTCACCTAAGGGCTTTCCCATGAGTGAGGAAGGAACACCCCTGCCTAACGCCCCCGCTGCCCCTAACACCCCTGCTGGCCCTAACGCCCCTGCTGGCCCTCCTGCCCTCACACTCTATCCTCAGCTCACCCATAGGCTCCCAAACGCCTCTTCCACTGCTCTCCTGTGCGAAATCTCGACCGTCCATCCCCCGGCCTTCTGCCCCTTGAGTATCCGAGCCTCCCTCTGCTCTGGGGTCAGGCTTGCCGCAGTGCCGTCCGTGTGGTGCACTGGCACAGGCTGCAGCCCCATGGGGCGAGGGGCGAACGCCCCCCCTAACTCCCCTGCTCCTGCTGCTGCTGCTGAGGCGAAATCCGTTGCCATTTCCAGCTGGTCCCTGGCCTGCTGCTCTATCTGCACGGTTGGGAGGGGGGGAACGGGGGAGGTGGGGGGGACGGGGGAGGTGGGGGGAACGGGGGAGGTGGGGGGAACGGGGGAGGTGGGGGGAACGGGGGAGGTGGGGGAAACGGGGGAGGTGGGGGAACGGGGGAGGTGGGGGGAACGGGGAAGAGGTTTCCAGCTGGTCCCTGGCCCGCTGCTCTATCTGCAGAGGGGGGATGGGAGATGGGGGATGGAGGATGGAGGGTGAGGGGGGGGGGTGGAGAAGAGGTGTGACAGAGGGTGCTGTCAGTGTGGTGCACTGGCACAGGCTGCTCCTGCTGCTGCTGCCGACACGGAGTCTGTTGCCATGTCGATCTGGTCTTTGGCCTGCTGCTCTGTCTGCGACGGGGAGGGGGGGAGATGGGAGTTTGGGGATGGGGGGATGGGGGGTGGGGGGGGGAGAGGAGCGGTGTGACAGATGGTGCGGTCGGTGTGGTGCACTGGCACCGGCTGCAGTCCCACGGGGAGAGGAGCGAACGCCCCCCCCCATCTCTCCTGCTCCTTCCTGCTGCTGCTGCTGACGCGAAGTCTGTAGTCATGTCAATCTGGTCTCTGGCCTGGGCTGAAGGTGTGGGGGGAAGGGGCGGGGGGGGAAGAGGTGTGAAATACGGTGCTGTCAGTGTGGTGCACTGGCATGGGATGCAGTGTGGTGCACTGGCATGGGATGCAGCCCCATGGGGAGGGGGGAACGCCCCAGCTGCTCCTAGTGCTCCTGCCCCTGCTGCTGCTGCTGACGTGAAATCTGTTGCCAAGTCAATCTGGTCTTTGGCCTGCTGCTCTATATGCAAGGTGGGGGAAGGGGGTCAAGGGAAGGGGTTGGGGGGTTGGGGGGGTTACTGGGACGGGCAGCTGCAGCCCCATGGGGGAGCGGGGAAACACCCTAATCGCCTGCCCCTGCTGCCGCTGGCATGAAATTTGTCGCCATGTCAATCTAGTCTTTGGCTTACTGTTCTACCTGCAGTGGAGGGGGAGGGGGGGGTTGGAGGGAGGGGGTAAGAGGTGTAAAAGATGGTGTGGCCGGTGTCACATGCCTCCCCACACTGGCATGCCTCCCCACACTGGCATGCCTCCCCGCACTGCCCCATACCAGCTGGTACACCAATGATTCCCCTGGCTCATACCAATGCACACATGGCATGCACCACCCATGCATGGCTCACGCCACCCACACATGGCCCACTCTGCCTGCGCTCCCCCCACTGCCTGCGCTCCCCCCACGGCCTGTGCTCCCCCCACTGCCTGCGCTTCCCCCACTGCCTGAACTCCCCCCACTGCCAGCACTCCCCCCACTGCCTGCGCTCCCCCCACTGCCAGCACTCCCCCCACTGCCTGCACCCCCCCACTGCCTGCACCCTCCCCACTGCATGCACTCCCCCCACTGCCCGCACTTCCCCCACTGCCTGCGCTCCCCCCAGTTCCTGCACCCTCCCCACTGCCTGCACCCTCCCCACTGCCTGCACTCCCCCCACTACCTGCGCTCCCCCCAGTGCCTGCGCTCCCCCCACTGCCTGCACCCCCCCACTGCCTGCACCCTCCCCACTGCCCCTTACCAGCTGGTACACCGATGATTCCCCCGGTTTCGGCGGCAGGGCTGCTGCTCTCAGCTCCGCTGCTCTGCGCTCTGCCTGGTGCAGAGAGAGGGTGTTGGGGGGAAGGTGAGGGGAACAGGAGGATTTGGAGAGGCGACGACGAGGATATGAGGAGAGGATGCGAGGAGAAGATACGAGGGGGTGGATGTGAGGGGAGGATGTGAGGTTGATCAGAGTTTCGAAGCATTCCGTATGGTACTCACGCTCCAACCTCTTAGATTCTTCATCTCCCTCCGTGTTAATCGCGGCATCAGTACTCAGGTAACAGTACTCACGTAAGTCATCGGCTGCGACTTAAAACTCTTGGGCATCTTCCCTTCAGCAAACAGCTGCTTGAGGCGCTGCACCATGGTTGACATCTTCAACTGCTTGACAAGCGCCTCATGATAAGTCTTGCTGTTGGTATTAAGTTGCTGCAGAAAAACCGTCAGGAATCTTCAGCTCCTCACCAAGAGCAGACATTCCAGATGACGATGCTCCAAACGGACGCGCCAAAAGAGCACTCAGCGCTGCTCCAAGGACCTCCAGTTGGTGTTGGAGCACCTGATTCTGCAGAAGCAGCTGCTGTTGAATAGAGACCTGACCTCGACATGCGCTTGATCAGTGCATCCTGATGCTCCAGCTTAAAATCCAGCTGATTCAGGTGCAGCGCCACCCATCGACCATCCTTGTTCACAGCGCTGATGCAGCGTTGATGCAGCATTGATGCAGTGTTGATGCAGCGTTGATGCAGCGTTGATGCAGCATTGATGCAGCGTTGATGCAGCGTTGATGCAGCATCGACCATCCTTGTTGCTTCTGCCGCTTCTTCGGCTTCAACAGCTTGGATGAAGAGTTCCGTCGTAGGTGACACTTCAACATACCCCTGCTTACCTTACCTCTGCTACAACATACCATGCTACCCCACTCACCCTCTTGGCCCTGGCAGCAGCAATGCCATCTCCGTTGCTCGCCTCATACGTCTGGCATGAAAAGTGCTGCTTCTGTTGCTACCCCTGTCTACCTTACCTTTCCTCTGCTACAATATAACATGCTTACCCTGCTTACCTTACCTTCGCTACAATCTACCATGCTAATTTTGAGGCGCCTCAAAACTGCTTACCTTACCTTCGCTACAATCTACCATGCTAACCACCCACTCACCGGCTTGGCCCTTTCAGCAGCCATGCCGTCTCGGTTGCTCGCCTCATACGTCTGGCATGAGGAGGGCTGCTTCTGTTGCAACCCCTTTGTACCCTACCTTACCTACAAAATATCACGCTAACCACTCACTCACCCGCTTGGCCCTCGCCGCAGCGATGCCGTCTCGGTTGCTCGCCTCATACGTCCTCACTTCAGCTTCTGTTGCTGCCACGTCTATCCCCTCCACCAACCGGAATACTGGCGGAAGGGAGAAAAGGGGAGGGCAAAAGAGAGAGAAGGAGAAGAAAGGTTAGAGGGGTAGGCAGGCAGCAGTGTTGCTCCCCCTCTCACCAACACCCCCCCCTCGCCAACACCCCCCCCTCGCCAACACCCCCCCCGGTCACCAGCACCCCCCCCGGTCACCAACACCCCCCCTCGCCAACACCCCCCCCTCACCAACACCCCTCCTCTCACCAATGTCCTCCACTTGCTCCAAATAGTCGTTGTACTCTCGGAGAGAAGGGAAGTCGTCCTGTAGCTTGTTGTAGCTGGTGATGAGGAGAGGGGAGAGGGAAGGTGAGAGATGAGGAGGGGGGGGGAGCACACATGGCATTAGAGAGAGGGTGAGGGACATGTGGACGGGAAGAGATAGAGGGAAGGGAAGTCGTCCTGTAGCTTGCTGTAGCTGGTGGTGGGGAGAGGGGAGGGAGGGGGGGAGGGTGGGGGAGGAGGGGGGAGGGGGCACACGTTGCATTGGAGAGGGTGAGGGACATGTGGCAGGGGCGGAGGAGGGAAGGGGTGGAGGGAAGGGAGGTAGTCCTGCAGCTTGTTGTAGCTGGTCAGAGTTAAGAGGACAAGGGAGATGGGAGATGAGGAGGGGAAGGAAGGGAAGTCAACTTCTTGCTTGCTGTACTCACGCTCACGCTCCTACAGCGCACTCACGCTCCTACAGCGCACTCACGCTCCTACAGCGCACTCACGCTCCTACAGCGCACTCACGCTCCTACAGCGCACTCACGCGCCTACAGCGCACTCACGCGCCTTCAATCTATAAGACGGAAACGTGCCTGTCAGTGAGCGCACTCACATGGCCTGGATTCGTTTCCGCACGGCCATTTCCTTGGCAAACGGCCCACCCGCTGCACTCATGCTTGCTGCCTGCTGCTGACGGAAGCTAGTGGTGACGGCCGCTAACGGTGACGGTCGCTAGTGGTGACGGCCGCTAGTTTTGTCGGCCGCTAGTGTTGTCGGCCGCTAGTTGTGACGGCGGCTGCTGGTGGCGGCTGCTACTAGTGGCGGTGTGTTGGGGCTGGCTGGCGAATCAGGGGCAAATCAAGAATCTCGCCTCATATGAAAGCGGCTTTCGCTAACATGTCACCCAGCTATTATCTATGCCTACTTGTCTGAGCCCAAGGTCTCTTGAAACCATGGCCGCTGACTTTTGAGTCGACTCAAGATTTGGCTGCTTCCTTCCGTCTGCAGTGAGCTTGGCTGTTTCTTTTCAGCAGCCAGAGCACGCAATCGTCCAATCAACCGCCGGAGCGCGAGAGAGAGAGAGAGAGAGAGTACCGTTAGATGCCACGTTCTAGCGACCAGGACAGTGGGAATTTGACAGCGGACGTGGCCGGAAAGCACCAGAGATTATGACCGGTTGTTCGCGCTTCAGTATCACCCTCTGCAACGCATTACGGTTTGCCTGGAGGGGTGCAATTTCTACGTACACTTTACAGCTCTCATGAAAAAAAAAATAGGGTCATTTCACCATGAAAAAGTTCATCATCACTAATCCTGAAAGCGAAGTATTATTAATCATAAAAAGGACGCATTATAATGCGGAAACCAGGCACCTCCTACCAACCATCTCATCCAATCCGAGAGCCAAGCAAGCAAGAAACCCGACCCTGAAACTGTAACTACATTTCTATGTAAATCAACCCCTATACCTTAAAAAATGTCACTTTCTCTTATCACTCTCAACACCAACCCACCCCTGTTAGGGACCTCCCCGTCCATTCCCCCTTCTGTAGCCTGTCGCCCTCTCCCCTCGAGCTTAGAGTAGGCCTTGCCCTTCCTCCACTCACTCCACTACCAGTACCTCCTCCTCCCCTCCTCCCTATTTTCCTTCCTCCCCCCCCCCCACCTTCCTCCAGCAGATACCAAATGTGTTCCTTGGGCGTCAACCCACACACCACCGCATCCCCGTAGCCCCTCCTTCGCTTACCCTGCCTCCTCCCTTCCTCCCCTCCTTCCCCTTCACCCCCTACGCCCCGCTTCCCTTCTCCCTCTCCTTATCCCTTCTCCCTCTCCTTATCCCTTCTCCCTCTCCTTATCCCTTCTCCCTCTCCTTATCCCCGCCCTATCCCCTTCTCCCCGCCCGCCCCCAACGTCTCCCAATTTTCCCCAAGCACCTCTCCCCTGGCGCAACAGCAGGGACACCTCCTCCGCGTCCCTTGGACGCAAACAGATGCACCACCACATCGCCATATCCCCTCCTCTCCACCTCTCCTCCTCTCCGCCTCTCCACCTCTCCACCTCTCCGCCTCTCCGCCTCTCCACCTCTCCACCTCTCCTCCTCTCCGCCTCTCCACCTCTCCACCTCTCCTCCTCTCCGCCTCTCCACCTCTCCACCTCTCCTCCTCTCCGCCTCTCCACCTCTCCACCTCTCCTCCTCTCCGCCTCTCCACCTCTCCACCTCTCCTCCTCTCCGCCTCTCCACCTCTCCACCTCTCCTCCTCTCCGCCTCTCCACCTCTCCACCTCTCCTCCTCTCCGCCTCTCCACCTCTCCACCTCTCCTCCTCTCCGCCTCTCCACCTCTCCACCTCTCCTCCTCTCCTCCTCTCCACCTCTCCTCCTCTCCACCTCTCCTCCTCTCCACCTCTCCTCCGCTTCCCGTGCTCCCTGCCCCATCCTTCCCTGCTCCGTGCCTCCAACTCCCATGCCCCATCCTCCGCCAGGTACCTCTCCTGTTGGGAGAACGGCAGGGGCACCTCCTCCGAATTAGCGAAAATATCTTCCCCTGCTTCCTTACTGTCTTCCTCCTCTTTCCCTGCCCTTCTCCCCGAAACCCCAGTCCCAGCACCCCACGATGCCCCACCCTACATCAGGTACCTCTCCTGTTGGGGGAACGGCAGGGGCACCATCCTCCCCCTGCCCCCTGCCCCATCCTTCTCTCCCCCCTCCCCCTCCCCCTCCCCCCTACATCAGGTACCTCTCCTGTTGGGGGAACGGCAGGGGCAACTCTTCAGCATTGGCGTAGAACTCTTCCAGGCGGTAGTAGTCGCGTTCCTTGGGCGTGAAAAGATGCACCACCACATCGCCATAGTCCAATAGCGTCCACGCGCTTCCGCCCCTGCTGCTCCCCCCGCTCCCCCGGTCCCCGCCCTTCTGCTCGCGCGCGAAACGCGGGGATTCCGCCACGTCGCGCATGCGCTTCGCTATGGCGTCCATCTGCGCGCGCGAGAACGCCGTCGCTATAACGAAGTACTGCGTCCAGTACACGAGCGGCCGCACGTCCAGCGCGATTATGTCACCCCCCTTAGCGTCACTCGCGGCGACCGCCAGCGCGACCGCGAACGCCTCGCTCTCCTCATCCGAATCCGGCGGGAAACGCGGAGCGGACGGCGCTTCCGCTGCTTCCCCTCGTGACGCGGCAACCGCGCTGCTGACGGCAGCAATCCCGTTAAAATCACTCCCGCTATCGTCTTCATCCTCGATATAATCCTCTTCCCGTACCAACTTATACCCCGCGTTGCTTGCAGAGCCGCTGCTGCTGCTCGTATCCTCTTTAAGAGTCTTCCCGTATTTGTCAAAGAGCTCGTCTAGCTCCTCCTCATCCCATTCCTCGTCCGACCACGCGCGCGCTCCCCCTACCTCCCCGCTTCCGCTTCCGCTTCCGCCTTTTTCCAGCTCCGCCGCGAGAAGCTCTTCTTCCGCCAGCATGGCGGCTAGCAGCTCCTCGTCTATCTCCTCCTCATCCCCGTTGACGTCGTCCTCGTTAAAAGTATCCTCTTCCTCTGTGTTAGCGCCCGCGTCTATCTTAGAGATTCCTTTTCCGCTGCTCGCGGAGTCTCTGCTTCTGCCGGCCCCGGCAAATGCAGCTGATGATCCCCTTAAACCCCGCGTTCTACCCCAGAATGTATTTAAACCCCTGGATGGGAGAGGTTTTGGGTTTGCGACGGACCCGCGATGCTGCGATAGCCGGCAGACTTGACACGCGGGCGAGCTTCTTCGCCGAGCGCTTAGCGAGCGTTGCGAAAGCTGCGATGGCGTCGCAACGGATATCGATGAGAGGACGGCAGACGGCACAGCGGCTGCCATTGGATCGAGCTCTAATCGCGCAGTCACGGAGTGACGTCAGCAGCAGCAGAAGCAGCAGCACCAGCTTCAGTCACACCTTTCTGCAGAATAGGAGGGATCTGGAAAGAGCGCGACGTCGAGCTGACGTAGCGCACTCGGCACGAGAGGTACGTGGCTTGCGGAAATCCGTGATCGTGATAGTTTGAGGTCGAGATAAAAGGCAACGAAGATCTACTTGCTCAAGTTCTGTTCAGTGCGAGGGCAAAGTGTTACGAATGGGACTGGCGAGTAGCGCGGAATCGAATGTCGAAACCGTGATCACTGAATGAATGAATACAGTGAATGACGAGGCAATATATAGGAACACCAGAGCTTCTTAGTCGTGAGATGAGATGGTTCGGGAATGTAATCGAAGGGTGTAGAAACGTCTAGGGGAGCCGAAGGTTCGGTACAAGAAGTCTGGCTCGAAGCTGGCTTCCCGTGGTTTCTAGGGTACGCGATGTAGAAAACCTACAGTAAGGAATTATAATTCCTCACACAAAGCACACCCAAATTCTTTCGTTAACAATTGATTCAGCTGAGTGGGTTTCGTTACCGTCTGGGTTCACAGGTATTTCACAACGGCCCTTCTAGGAATGACCTGTCCAATTTGTTTTCGTGGAAAGAATTTTCTGTGCATTGGCGAATCAATATTACATTTGCTCCTCAAATATGCTGCTTACTGCAACGTTGGCGAAACTCCTGCTGGGAACAATCGCTGGCCTCCATCGTCGAAGACGTCACGCAAGCTGTGTTCTGCAGGAAGTGGAGTGGGTGGCGATGTGGAGTTCAGGAAGTAGCCTCTGTCATTTCGCATGTAATGGTAACCACCCAGCCCACTTTGGGCCTTCCCAAACCACACTATGAAGCTGCGCTGGCAAATTGGGGAAAGCGAGCAAGTGATTTCGACAAGGGCAACAGAAACAAAAACGCTGGATGAACATGTGCCCCGGGCCATTCAAAAACAAAAAGGTTAAAAAGCTTCGAACACCAACCACTAGGGTGCTCTGGTGGTTGTGAGAGTAGTGCGTGGTGCTTTGAGGAACTGAAGTCGTGAGAGGTTTGTTTTCTTTCTGGGCATCCGTATCTTGGTTTTGTGGGAGGTGTTGTCCAGCTGTAGGTATTTTGTGGGGTGGGGTTGTGGTTTGCCCTAGCACCCCGACTCCACCGCGTCCTCCTGCGATTTGGCGGAGTCCACTTGGCAGTGCGGCAGAGTTCACAGTTGCCTGGGGGCGAATTTGCCCCTCTACCTTCGTGAACTCAACCTCTGCGTTGAGGTGGGTGCGTTCTGCAGGCAACGCGATTCTTCTAGGTTCGGACAGCTCAAGGTTGGTTTGGCACATTTTTGCGGGCTGACCCAGGTTCTGGGCAAAAAATGTGCTATTGCGGAACCTTCTGCACTCGACTGAGAACCTTCCAAAATTGCCTGCAGAACGCAGCCTTATACGGCCTGGACCACATTTCCTTGGAGCAGGCATAGTTTCAGGTATCTCCTGCTGCTAGAGTTTCCAAGCAATGATATCGCACACCATCTGCTTGAACTCTAGATGTGAATCAGACGATAGGGTTGCTCAGGATTGCGAAGATTAGTCAGGCGTAGTCACTTCAAGCGATTCAACACACTTGTTGCGCGTCGAGGCCGGTTGGACTCGTCGCGTTTCCAGGCCTGTCGTTCCGGGGATGCGTGTCAGTCACTGCCCCCCCCCCCCCCCTTTTTTTTAATCCCGCCGATGCCTGAAATGGCGGAGTCTGTTGAAAACATGCCTCGATTCTGCTTTTGACTCGACTCAAAAGCCGGGGATGCGAGTCAGGCATTGCCTTTCTCTCACTCTCTCTCTCCCGAACGATGCTTGGAATGCCCGAGTCTGTTTTTTTGTCATGCCTCGACTCGCGGCAGTTTAGATTATAGGCCCCGTTACTACGCATCCTGGAAGTTTTTCTCAGGTGCAAGCAACTAGATAGTGGAATTTAATAGGTTCTGAATATCCAACCGCCGCCTGTTTTATCCTTGCTAAAAGCATGAGTAAGGTGGGAGGAGGCGGTGGCTTTTGAGAATTCTATTTTATCCTCGCTAAAACCAGTTCACCTATTTGATCCTAGCTGAAAGCCAAAAGCTTGAAGCATGAGTAAGGCGGGAGGAGGCGGTGGCGGGTCCGCTCTAGGTCGAGCGGCCATGGCGTCAGCAGCGGCTGGCTTGGCGGTGCAGCGGCAGCGGGCCTTGCAGCAGCGAGTGGACGCTGACGTCATTAGCATGGTGGAAAATTTCACCAACATGATCAAAGCGTCCAAGGTGCGCCTCTCGGGTTTCGAGGTGCGCCTCTCGGGTGTCAAGGTGCGCCTCTCGGGTGTCAAGGTGCGCCTCTCGGGTGTCCATTTGAATCGACTCAAAGGTCACCTCGAATCTCACCAACATGATCAAAGCGTCCAAAGCAGGTTCACTCGCGTCACTCACTGTAATAGCTAACGAGATACTATCTCGCGGCTAGGTAGGGAGTCTGACATCCAATTCGCTCGTGGGTTTGATGCCGCCGCCCATGAATGCACCCCTTCCGCACTCATTCATCAAACACGTGCCTCTCCAATGCATGCTCTCCGTTGCTGTTCCCATCACCTCTCCATTTGCCAAGCGCCCCAAGAATGGTTTGATGCCTCCGCCTATGCATGCATGCACCCCGTCGCACTCATTCATCAAACACGTACCTATAATCACCTCCTACCTATAATCACCTCCTACCTATAATCACCTCCTAGCTCCAATCACCTCCTTGCTCTTGCTGCTCCCATCACCTCTCCTTCCCCACCTCCCCAGGATAGCCCTCTCCCCAGGATAGCCCTCTCCCCAGGATAGCCCTCTCCCCAATAGAGCCCTCTCCCCTGCCCACCTATGCCTATCTATCTCCCCCTTCGCACCACCCACCTGGTTTGTCGTTCCAGATCCACCATCCAGATCCACCATCCAGTGGCCAACTCCCAAGAGTCATACCACTATGCCTTCCCCCCCTGCCCGCTCCCCTGTTCTACCCCCTCTCTCCCAACCCCCCTTCCTGCTACCCCTTAGACCCCTGATCCTCCCAGATCAACAAACAAGTGCGCAACTCCCAAGTCAAGTCATACCACTACGCCTTCCCCCCCTGCCCGCTCCCCTGCTCTACCCCCTCTCCCACCCCCCTCCCCCCGCTACTCATTACTCCCCTACTCCCTCCAGATCAACGAACCATCCAGTGGCCAACTCCCAAGTCACGTCATACCACTCCGCGTTCCCCCCCCTGCCCGCTCCCCTGCTCTACCCCGTTTCGTATCCCTGATCCGCCCCCTACTCCACTCAGATCAACGATCCAGTGCGCAACTCCCAGGAGGCGTACCAGATTGAAGTGCACTCCGCCAAGCTGGTGGGTGATGGGTGGGTGGCTGGTGATGGTGATGGGTTGGTGCTGGTGCTGGTGGGTTATGAGCTGTTTTTTTAGTCGATTCAAAGTACTCCCAGGAGGCGTACCAGATTGAAGTGCACTCCGCCAAGCTGGTGGGTGCGGTGGTGTTTGGTCATGGCGATGGGTTGGTGCTGGTGCTGGTGGGTGCGGTGGAGTTTGGTCGTGGCGATGGGTTGGTGCTGGTGCAGGTGGGTGCGGTGGAGTTTGGTCGTGGCGATGGGTTGGTGCTGGTGCAGGTGGGTGCGGTGGTGTTTGGTCATGGCGATGGGTTGGTGCTGGTGCAGGTGGGTGCGGTGGTGTTTGGTCGTGGCGATGGGTTGGTGCTGGTGCAGGTGGGTGCGGTGGTGTTTGGTCATGGCGATGGGTTGGTGCTGGTGCAGGTGGGTGCGGTGGTGGCTGGTGATGGCGGTGGGTTGGCGATGGTGGGTTTTGAGCTGTTTTTTAAGTCAAATCATGATACTCCAGGTGTTTTGCAAGCTTGGATTGAAGTGGACTACACACATTGAGTCACTGACGGATGGGAGCGGCAGAGTCACTTTTGAGGCGCCTCAAAACTAGACTCCTATCACGGGTGGGAGCGGCAGAGTCACTTTTGAGGTGCCTCAAAAACTAGACTCCTATCACGGGTGGGAGCGGCAGAGTCACTTTTGAGGCGCCTCAAAACTAGACTCCTATCACGGGTGGGAGCGGCAGAGTCACTTTTGAGGCGCCTCAAAACTAGACTCCTATCACGGGTGGGAGCGGCAGAGTCACTTTTGAGGTGCCTCAAAACTAGACTCCTATCACGGGTGGGAGCGGCAGAGTCACTTTTGAGGCGCCTCAAAACTAGACTCCTATCACGGGTGGGAGCGGCAGAGTCACTTTTGAGGCGCCTCAAAACTAGACTCCTATCACGGGTGGGAGCGGCAGCGTCACTGACGTTTGGGAACGGCAGAGTCACTGACAGGGTGACTTTTGAGTCGACTCAAAAGTCACTGACGGATGGGAGCGGCAGAGTCACTCCCGTAGCTAGCGGCACAGCCGCAGCAAACAGTTGTGTTTCCCGACATGTCTGCACTAATTCCAAGGGTTTCACATGCCCTTTCTGTTGCTGCTGTGAGTGGCAGGTGGGAGCAGCGGAGTCACTTCTGAAGCTAGTGGCGCAGTTAAAGCAAACTGTTGTGTTTGCTGACATGTCAGCACTGAATGCCAGCGTGGAAAGGCACAAAGAGGAGTTCAAGGAAGAAGCTGATGTGGCCAATGAGGTGGTTGCATGTGTTGGGGAAAAGGCAACAACCTTGTTACATGATCTAGAAGACATGTATTTCACATCTAAGTTGAAGTAGTAATATTCAGGCCTCTCTGACATGGGGCTTCAATTAGTTGTTTTGTGTTTTCTCAAGTGGATTTGCTAAGTTGCTAGCGCTGATTTACTTTCCCAGATTAGGGGTACACTATAATGTCGAGAAAGTGTATAATGTCGGTGGAGGCGAGGTTTTACGGTGCCGTTCGCTTGGCGCGCTTCGCAAAGCACGCTTTCCTGCTTCTGCCTGCTGCTGTGCGGCCTTCCAAATTCGCCTTGGGAATGCCACCTTCTGTCACTATTGCCGGCCTGTCTCCCTCCCTCCTCCCTCTACAGCTTTCAACGTCTGTCCCCAGTCCTTCTCATTCTGCGAGTTCATCTATTAAGTTAGTTTTTTAAGCACGTTCTGAAACGCTTACTAGAGAGCAGAAAGCAGTCCCCAGTCGGCTCGTGAAAAACAAGGAATGATGCTCACGACACTGGCGGCGTCGGCTCCCCCTCTGGCCGCGCCGTCCGCGGTCAGTCCCGGGATTTTCGCCGCTTACATCTCTCTCGCCGCGCTGGTCTATGCCGTCTACGTTATTCTCGTCAAGCCGTTGCGGTTCCGACACCATTGCATCCAGCAGGGCATTCCCTTTCTCCCCTTCAGGTACCTCCAGCACTCCCTTTCTCCCTTTCTCCCTTTCTCCATTTCTCCCTTTCTCCCTTTCTCCATTTCTCCCTTTCTCCCTTTCTCCCCTTCAGTTACCCGCTGCTCCGCTTTGTCAGAAAGGCGTTCCATTTCTCTCAATCGCGAAGGCGCCGTTTCTCTTAGTCGGCAAGAAAGAGATAGCCCGCAAGGGATAGCCCGCTAAGAGATAGCCCGCTAAGGGATAGCCCGCTAACAGATAGCCCGCTAAGGGATAGCCCGCTAAGAGATAGCCCGCTAAGTCATAGCCCGCTATCTCTTTCTTTCAGTTGGCATTAGCCCTCCATCCCCTCGCCAACTGCTACAACCTCCCCCCCTTCGCCGTATTCTGTCATCGTGTTTCTGGTTTCAAGCAACATTAGTGTTTTTTTTTTTTTTTTTTTTTTTTTTCATTGCAGGTAACTACCCAGACGACATACCACGTCACACTGCGCACTGAATCATGCACGATGTTTGTTTATGTTTTAGGCGCCTCAAAAAAAGACTCCAGACCACGCCGCACTGCGCACTGAATCATGCACGATGTTTGTTCCCTTGCCACCGTCTCCCTTCCTTCCCGTTCTCCTTTCAAACCTTTCCCAATGGGCAGCTTTCGGACCTCGCCAGTGTACGGTCAGTTTGGCTCCTCCAGAAAAAATCCACAAAGTAGTCGCATTCTCTTCCTCCTCGTTTCCCCTTACCCTTCCAGACCTGTGTTTGGGCAGCTTCCCGAGTTCGCCAATCGCGACCCTAAGCCCATACCTGCGTCCGAGCCTGCGCCTCTAGGTCCGGCGAACATCAGCCCGCTGCTGTGGAAGTGGAGGTGCCAACTGGGGACGGTGTTTGGCATCTCGCTGGGAATCTTCCAGCCAATTGTCGTTGCAGAGCCCGACCTGCTGCACCAGGCACGTAGTAAGGAGTCTATTTTTGTGGCGCCTCAAAAATAGAGCCCGACCTGCAGCCTGCTGCACCAGGCACGTAGTAAGACCAGTGGTTCATTCCATAAAATGTTCTTCTGAGGTATTTTTTATAACTCTCAAAAAACATTTCTGAGGTATAGCTGCTCTGAGGTTTGTTGTGGAGGCGGATCTGGCAGCTAAGGACGGTGTTTGGCATGGCATCTCACTCCCCCTCCTCCCCTTCCTCCTCCCCTTCCTCCCCCCCTTCCGTCTACCCTCCCCATTGTTCGCCAAGAACTCGAACCCCACCAAGAACCGCCAAGAACTCAACCTTTGGCAAGAACCAGAACGCAAGGAGGGTGCTCAGCTCCCTGCCTCCCCTCCCCCCTTCCTCTCTCTCCAGTGGTCCTCCCCCCTTCCCCTCTCTCCCTCCCTCCCCGTCTCCCCTCCCCCGTTCCCCCTTACCCCCTCCTTCCCCACGCACTCAGATCATGATAGCCAAGAACTCGACCTTTGGCAAGAACCAGAACGCAAGGCGTGTGGTCGACTTTCTGGCCAACGGGCTGGTGTTCTCCGAGGGAGAGTTCTGGGCGCGGCAGCGCAAGATGATCAGCCCTGCTTTCAGCCCGGCTTATATCAAGGTAGTGATGCGTGATAGAGACAGCACGCAGTGAGTATAAGGAGACCACGCAAGCATGGTGGTTTCCCTCTCTCACCCCTCTCTCTCACGCAGGCATCTCTTCCCCTTGGTCCATCCCATTCCGCTCTCTCCATCCCATTCCGCTCTCTCCACCCCATTCCGCTCTCTCCACCCCATTCCGCTCTCTCCATCCCATTCCGCTCTCTCCATCCCATTCCGCTCTCTCCACCCCATTCCGCTCTCTCATCCCATTCCGCTCTCTCCACCCCATTCCGCTCTCTCCATCCCATTCCGCTCTCTCCACCCCATTCCGCTCTCTCCATCCCATTCCGCTCTCTGCATCCCATTCCGCTCTCTCCATCCCATTCCGCTCTCTCATCCCATTCCGCTCTCTCCATCCCATTCCGCTCTCTCCATCCCATTCCGCTCTCTCCATCCCATTCCGCTCTCTCCACCCCATTCCGCTCTCTCCATCCCATTCCGCTCTCTCCACCCCATTCCGCTCTCTCCATCCCATTCCGCTCTCTCCATCCCATTCCGCTCTCTCATCCCATTCCGCTCTCTCCATTCCATTCCGCTCTCTCATCCCATTCCGCTCTCTCCACCCCATTCCGCTCTCTCCATCCCATTCCGCTCTCTCATCCCATTCCGCTCTCTCCACCCCATTCCGCTCTCTCCATCCCATTCCGCTCTCTCCACCCCATTCCGCTCTCTCCATCCCATTCCGCTCTCTCCATCCCATTCCGCTCTCTCCATCCCATTCCGCTCTCTCATCCCATTCCGCTCTCTCCATCCCATTCCGCTCTCTCATCCCATTCCGCTCTCTCCACCCCATTCCGCTCTCTCCATCCCATTCCGCTCTCTCCATCCCATTCCGCTCTCTCCATCCCATTCCGCTCTCTCATCCCATTCCGCTCTCTCCACCCCATTCCGCTCTCTCCATCCCATTCCGCTCTCTCATCCCATTCCGCTCTCTCCACCCCATTCCGCTCTCTCCATCCCATTCCGCTCTCTCCACCCCATTCCGCTCTCTCCATCCCATTCCGCTCTCTCCATCCCATTCCGCTCTCTCCACCCCATTCCGCTCTCTCCATCCCATTCCGCTCTCTCCACCCCATTCCGCTCTCTCCATCCCATTCCGCTCTCTCATCCCATTCCGCTCTCTCCACCCCATTCCGCTCTCTCCATCCCATTCCGCTCTCTCCATTCCATTCCGCTCTCTCATCCCATTCCGCTATCTCCACCCCATTCCGCTCTCTCCATCCCATTCCGCTCTCTCATCCCATTCCGCTCTCTCCACCCCATTCCGCTCTCTCATCCCATTCCGCTCTCTCCATCCCATTCCGCTCTCTCCACCCCATTCCGCTCTCTCCACCCCATTCCGCTCTCTCCACCCCATTCCGCTCTCTCCATCCCATTCCGCTCTCTCCACCCCATTCCGCTCTCTCCATCCCATTCCGCTCTCTCATCCCATTCCGCTCTCTCCACCCCATTCCGCTCTCTCCATCCCATTCCGCTCTCTCCACCCCATTCCGCTCTCTCCATCCCATTCCGCTCTCTCCACCCCATTCCGCTCTCTCCATCCCATTCCGCTCTCTCATCCCATTCCGCTCTCTCCATCCCATTCCGCTCTCTCCATCCCATTCCGCTCTCTCATCCCATTCCGCTCTCTCCACCCCATTCCGCTCTCTCCATCCCATTCCGCTCTCTCCACCCCATTCCGCTCTCTCCATCCCATTCCGCTCTCTCCATCCCATTCCGCTCTCTCCATCCCATTCCGCTCTCTCATCCCATTCCGCTCTCTCCATCCCATTCCGCTCTCTCATCCCATTCCGCTCTCTCCACCCCATTCCGCTCTCTCCATCCCATTCCGCTCTCTCCATCCCATTCCGCTCTCTCCATCCCATTCCGCTCTCTCATCCCATTCCGCTCTCTCCACCCCATTCCGCTCTCTCCACCCCATTCCGCTCTCTCCACCCCATTCCGCTCTCTCCACCCCATTCCGCTCTCTCCATCCCATTCCGCTCTCTCCACCCCATTCCGCTCTCTCCATCCCATTCCGCTCCCTCATCCCATTCCGCTCTCTCCACCCCATTCCGCTCTCTCCATCCCATTCCGCTCTCTCCACCCCATTCCGCTCTCTCCATCCCATTCCGCTCTCTCCACCCCATTCCGCTCTCTCCATCCCATTCCGCTCTCTCATCCCATTCCGCTCTCTCCATCCCATTCCGCTCTCTCCATCCCATTCCGCTCTCTCATCCCATTCCGCTCTCTCCACCCCATTCCGCTCTCTCCACCCCATTCCGCTCTCTCCACCCCATTCCGCTCTCTCCACCCCATTCCGCTCTCTCCATCCCATTCCGCTCTCTCCACCCCATTCCGCTCTCTCCATCCCATTCCGCTCTCTCATCCCATTCCGCTCTCTCCACCCCATTCCGCTCTCTCCATCCCATTCCGCTCTCTCCACCCCATTCCGCTCTCTCCATCCCATTCCGCTCTCTCCACCCCATTCCGCTCTCTCCATCCCATTCCGCTCTCTCATCCCATTCCGCTCTCTCCATCCCATTCCGCTCTCTCCATCCCATTCCGCTCTCTCATCCCATTCCGCTCTCTCCACCCCATTCCGCTCTCTCCATACCATTCCGCTCTCTCCACCCCATTCCGCTCTCTCCATCCCATTCCGCTCTCTCCATCCCATTCCGCTCTCTCATCCCATTCCGCTCTCTCCACCCCATTCCGCTCTCTCCATCCCATTCCGCTCTCTCATCCCATTCCGCTCTCTCCACCCCATTCCGCTCTCTCCATCCCATTCCGCTCTCTCCATCCCATTCCGCTCTCTCCATCCCATTCCGCTCTCTCATCCCATTCCGCTCTCTCCACCCCATTCCGCTCTCTCCACCCCATTCCGCTCTCTCCATCCCATTCCGCTCTCTCCATCCCATTCCGCTCTCTCCATCCCATTCCGCTCTCTCATCCCATTCCGCTCTCTCCACCCCATTCCGCTCTCTCCACCCCATTCCACTCTCTCCATCCCATTCCGCTCTCTCCACCCCATTCCGCTCTCTCCATCCCATTCCGCTCTCTCATCCCATTCCGCTCTCTCCATCCCATTCCGCTCTCTCCATCCCATTCCGCTCTCTCATCCCATTCCGCTCTCTCCATCCCATTCCGCTCTCTCCACCCCATTCCGCTCTCTCCATCCCATTCCGCTCTCTCCACCCCATTCCGCTCTCTCCATCCCATTCCGCTCTCTCATCCCATTCCGCTCTCTCCACCCCATTCCGCTCTCTCCATCCCATTCCGCTCTCTCCATTCCATTCCGCTCTCTCATCCCATTCCGCTCTCTCCACCCCATTCCGCTCTCTCCATCCCATTCCGCTCTCTCATCCCATTCCGCTCTCTCCACCCCATTCCGCTCTCTCATCCCATTCCGCTCTCTCCATCCCATTCCGCTCTCTCCACCCCATTCCGCTCTCTCCACCCCATTCCGCTCTCTCCACCCCATTCCGCTCTCTCCATCCCATTCCGCTCTCTCCACCCCATTCCGCTCTCTCCATCCCATTCCGCTCTCTCATCCCATTCCGCTCTCTCCACCCCATTCCGCTCTCTCCATCCCATTCCGCTCTCTCCACCCCATTCCGCTCTCTCCATCCCATTCCGCTCTCTCCACCCCATTCCGCTCTCTCCATCCCATTCCGCTCTCTCATCCCATTCCGCTCTCTCCATCCCATTCCGCTCTCTCCATCCCATTCCGCTCTCTCCACCCCATTCCGCTCTCTCCACCCCATTCCGCTCTCTCCATCCCATTCCGCTCTCTCATCCCATTCCGCTCTCTCCACCCCATTCCGCTCTCTCCATCCCATTCCGCTCTCTCATCCCATTCCGCTCTCTCCACCCCATTCCGCTCTCTCATCCCATTCCGCTCTCTCCATCCCATTCCGCTCTCTCCACCCCATTCCGCTCTCTCCACCCCATTCCGCTCTCTCCACCCCATTCCGCTCTCTCCATCCCATTCCGCTCTCTCCACCCCATTCCGCTCTCTCCATCCCATTCCGCTCTCTCATCCCATTCCGCTCTCTCCACCCCATTCCGCTCTCTCCATCCCATTCCGCTCTCTCCACCCCATTCCGCTCTCTCCATCCCATTCCGCTCTCTCCACCCCATTCCGCTCTCTCCATCCCATTCCGCTCTCTCATCCCATTCCGCTCTCTCCATCCCATTCCGCTCTCTCATCCCATTCCGCTCTCTCCACCCCATTCCGCTCTCTCCACCCCATTCCACTCTCTCCATCCCATTCCGCTCTCTCCACCCCATTCCGCTCTCTCCATCCCATTCCGCTCTCTCATCCCATTCCGCTCTCTCCATCCCATTCCGCTCTCTCCATCCCATTCCGCTCTCTCATCCCATTCCGCTCTCTCCATCCCATTCCGCTCTCTCCACCCCATTCCGCTCTCTCCATCCCATTCCGCTCTCTCCACCCCATTCCGCTCTCTCCATCCCATTCCGCTCTCTCATCACATTCCGCTCTCTCCACCCCATTCCGCTCTCTCCATCCCATTCCGCTCTCTCCATTCCATTCCGCTCTCTCATCCCATTCCGCTCTCTCCACCCCATTCCGCTCTCTCCATCCCATTCCGCTCTCTCATCCCATTCCGCTCTCTCCACCCCATTCCGCTCTCTCATCCCATTCCGCTCTCTCCATCCCATTCCGCTCTCTCCACCCCATTCCGCTCTCTCCACCCCATTCCGCTCTCTCCACCCCATTCCGCTCTCTCCATCCCATTCCGCTCTCTCCACCCCATTCCGCTCTCTCCATCCCATTCCGCTCTCTCATCCCATTCCGCTCTCTCCACCCCATTCCGCTCTCTCCATCCCATTCCGCTCTCTCCACCCCATTCCGCTCTCTCCATCCCATTCCGCTCTCTCCACCCCATTCCGCTCTCTCCATCCCATTCCGCTCTCTCATCCCATTCCGCTCTCTCCATCCCATTCCGCTCTCTCCATCCCATTCCGCTCTCTCCACCCCATTCCGCTCTCTCCACCCCATTCCGCTCTCTCCATCCCATTCCGCTCTCTCATCCCATTCCGCTCTCTCCACCCCATTCCGCTCTCTCCATCCCATTCCGCTCTCTCCATCCCATTCCGCTCTCTCCACCCCATTCCGCTCTCTCATCCCATTCCGCTCTCTCCATCCCATTCCGCTCTCTCCACCCCATTCCGCTCTCTCCACCCCATTCCGCTCTCTCCACCCCATTCCGCTCTCTCCATCCCATTCCGCTCTCTCCACCCCATTCCGCTCTCTCCATCCCATTCCGCTCTCTCATCCCATTCCGCTCTCTCCACCCCATTCCGCTCTCTCCATCCCATTCCGCTCTCTCATCCCATTCCGCTCTCTCCACCCCATTCCGCTCTCTCCATCCCATTCCGCTCTCTCCATCCCATTCCGCTCTCTCATCCCATTCCGCTCTCTCCATCCCATTCCGCTCTCTCATCCCATTCCGCTCTCTCCACCCCATTCCGCTCTCTCCATCCCATTCCGCTCTCTCCATCCCATTCCGCTCTCTCCATCCCATTCCGCTCTCTCCATCCCATTCCGCTCTCTCATCCCATTCCGCTCTCTCCACCCCATTCCGCTCTCTCCACCCCATTCCGCTCTCTCATCCCATTCCGCTCTCTCCACCCCATTCCGCTCTCTCCATCCCATTCCGCTCTCTCATCCCATTCCGCTCTCTCCACCCCATTCCGCTCTCTCATCCCATTCCGCTCTCTCCATCCCATTCCGCTCTCTCCACCCCATTCCGCTCTCTCCACCCCATTCCGCTCTCTCCACCCCATTCCGCTCTCTCCATCCCATTCCGCTCTCTCCACCCCATTCCGCTCTCTCCATCCCATTCCGCTCTCTCATCCCATTCCGCTCTCTCCACCCCATTCCGCTCTCTCCATCCCATTCCGCTCTCTCCACCCCATTCCGCTCTCTCCATCCCATTCCGCTCTCTCCACCCCATTCCGCTCTCTCCATCCCATTCCGCTCTCTCATCCCATTCCGCTCTCTCCATCCCATTCCGCTCTCTCCATCCCATTCCGCTCTCTCCACCCCATTCCGCCTCTCCACCCCATTCCGCTCTCTCCATCCCATTCCGCTCTCTCATCCCATTCCGCTCTCTCCACCCATTCCGCTCTCTCCATCCCATTCCGCTCTCTCCATCCCATTCCGCTCTCTCCACCCCATTCCGCTCTCTCATCCCATTCCGCTCTCTCCATCCCATTCCGCTCTCTCCACCCCATTCCGCTCTCTCCACCCCATTCCGCTCTCTCCACCCCATTCCGCTCTCTCCATCCCATTCCGCTCTCTCCACCCCATTCCGCTCTCTCCATCCCATTCCGCTCTCTCATCCCATTCCGCTCTCTCCACCCCATTCCGCTCTCTCCATCCCATTCCGCTCTCTCATCCCATTCCGCTCTCTCCACCCCATTCCGCTCTCTCCATCCCATTCCGCTCTCTCCATCCCATTCCGCTCTCTCATCCCATTCCGCTCTCTCCATCCCATTCCGCTCTCTCATCCCATTCCGCTCTCTCCACCCCATTCCGCTCTCTCCATCCCATTCCGCTCTCTCCATCCCATTCCGCTCTCTCCATCCCATTCCGCTCTCTCCATCCCATTCCGCTCTCTCATCCCATTCCGCTCTCTCCACCCCATTCCGCTCTCTCCACCCCATTCCACTCTCTCCATCCCATTCCGCTCTCTCCACCCCATTCCGCTCTCTCCATCCCATTCCGCTCTCTCATCCCATTCCGCTCTCTCCATCCCATTCCGCTCTCTCCATCCCATTCCGCTCTCTCATCCCATTCCGCTCTCTCCATCCCATTCCGCTCTCTCCACCCCATTCCGCTCTCTCCATCCCATTCCGCTCTCTCCACCCCATTCCGCTCTCTCCATCCCATTCCGCTCTCTCCATCCCATTCCGCTCTCTCCATCCCATTCCGCTCTCTCATCCCATTCCGCTCTCTCCATCCCATTCCGCTCTCTCATCCCATTCCGCTCTCTCCATCCCATTCCGCTCTCTCCACCCCATTCCGCTCTCTCCACCCCATTCCGCTCTCTCCACCCCATTCCGCTCTCTCCATCCCATTCCGCTCTCTCATCCCATTCCGCTCTCTCCATCCCATTCCGCTCTCTCCATCCCATTCCGCTCTCTCCATCCTATTCCGCTCTCTCCATCCCATTCCGCTCTCTCCATCCCATTCCGCTCTCTCCATCCCATTCCGCTCTCTCCACCCCATTCCGCTCTCTCCACCCCATTCCGCTCTCTCCATCCCATTCCGCTCTCTCATCCCATTCCGCTCTCTCCATCCCATTCCGCTCTCTCATCCCATTCCGCTCTCTCCATCCCATTCCGCTCTCTCATCCCATTCCGCTCTCTCCACCCCATTCCGCTCTCTCATCCCATTCCGCTCTCTCCATCCCATTCCGCTCTCTCCACCCCATTCCGCTCTCTCCACCCCATTCCGCTCTCTCCACCCCATTCCGCTCTCTCCATCCCATTCCGCTCTCTCCACCCCATTCCGCTCTCTCCATCCCATTCCGCTCTCTCATCCCATTCCGCTCTCTCCACCCCATTCCGCTCTCTCCATCCCATTCCGCTCTCTCCATCCCATTCCGCTCTCTCCACCCCATTCCGCTCTCTCATCCCATTCCGCTCTCTCCACCCCATTCCGCTCTCTCCATCCCATTCCGCTCTCTCCACCCCATTCCGCTCTCTCCATCCCATTCCGCTCTCTGCATCCCATTCCGCTCTCTCCATCCCATTCCGCTCTCTCATCCCATTCCGCTCTCTCCACCCCATTCCGCTCTCTCCACCCCATTCCGCTCTCTCCACCCCATTCCGCTCTCTCCACCCCATTCCGCTCTCTCCATCCCATTCCGCTCTCTCCACCCCATTCCGCTCTCTCCATCCCATTCCGCTCTCTCATCCCATTCCGCTCTCTCCACCCCATTCCGCTCTTTCCATCCCATTCCGCTCTCTCCACCCCATTCCGCTCTCTCCATCCCATTCCGCTCTCTCCACCCCATTCCGCTCTCTCCATCCCATTCCGCTCTCTCATCCCATTCCGCTCTCTCCATCCCATTCCGCTCTCTCCATCCCATTCCGCTCTCTCCATCCCATTCCGCTCTCTCATCCCATTCCGCTCTCTCCATCCCATTCCGCTCTCTCCATCCCATTCCGCTCTCTCCATCCCATTCCGCTCTCTCCATCCCATTCCGCTCTCTCCATCCCATTCCGCTCTCTCCACCCCATTCCGCTCTCTCCACCCCATTCCGCTCTCTCCATCCCATTCCGCTCTCTCCACCCCATTCCGCTCTCTCCATCCCATTCCGCTCTCTCATCCCATTCCGCTCTCTCCATCCCATTCCGCTCTCTCATCCCATTCCGCTCTCTCCATCCCATTCCGCTCTCTCATCCCATTCCGCTCTCTCCACCCCATTCCGCTCTCTCATCCCATTCCGCTCTCTCCATCCCATTCCGCTCTCTCCACCCCATTCCGCTCTCTCCACCCCATTCCGCTCTCTCCACCCCATTCCGCTCTCTCCATCCCATTCCGCTCTCTCCACCCCATTCCGCTCTCTCCATCCCATTCCGCTCTCTCATCCCATTCCGCTCTCTCCACCCCATTCCGCTTTCTCCATCCCATTCCGCTCTCTCCACCCCATTCCGCTCTCTCCATCCCATTCCGCTCTCTCATCCCATTCCGCTCTCTCCATCCCATTCCGCTCTCTCCATCCCATTCCGCTCTCTCATCCCATTCCGCTCTCTCCACCCCATTCCGCTCTCTCCATCCCATTCCGCTCTCTCCACCCCATTCCGCTCTCTCCATCCCATTCCGCTCTCTCCACCCCATTCCGCTCTCTCCATCCCATTCCGCTCTCTCATCCCATTCCGCTCTCTCATCCCATTCCGCTCTCTCATCCCATTCCGCTCTCTCCACCCCATTCCGCTCTCTCCATCCCATTCCACTCTCTCCACCCCATTCCGCTCTCTCCACCCCATTCCGCTCTCTCCATCCGATTCCGCTCTCTCCATCCCATTCCGCTCTCTCATCCCATTCCGCTCTCTCCACCCCATTCCGCTCTCTCCATCCCATTCCGCTCTCTCCACCCCATTCCGCTCTCTCCATCCCATTCCGCTCTCTCCACCCCATTCCGCTCTCTCCATCCCATTCCGCTCTCTCATCCCATTCCGCTCTCTCCATCCCATTCCGCTCTCTCCATCCCATTCCGCTCTCTCATCCCATTCCGCTCTCTCCACCCCATTCCGCTCTCTCCATCCCATTCCGCTCTCTCCACCCCATTCCGCTCTCTCCATCCCATTCCGCTCTCTCCATCCCATTCTGCTCTCTCATCCCATTCCGCTCTCTCCATCCCATTCCGCTCTCTCCACCCCATTCCGCTCTCTCCATCCCACAGCACGCAGTGACTATAATGGACGAGCAGGCAAGCATTGCAGTGCAGCAGTGGGTGCATGCCGTCACACAGGCATCTCTTCCCACCACCGACGGCAATGGCAGCGGCAGCGGCAGCGGCAGTGTTCCTGCTAGTAGTGGCAGTGGCGTGTGTGAGATCGACATGTATGCTGCATTCACCACTTTGGCCCTTGACATCATTGGCCTGGCGGCCTTTGGCAGCACTGTCAGCACTGCGAAAACTGTGGGTGGTGGCGGTGGGGAGGAGAAGGAGAGGGAGGGACTGGGAGGACTAGGAGGGAGTGAGAAGGGGAGTCTGGAGGAGGAGGAGGAGGAGGGGAGTGTGAGGGAGGTGTACGAAGCAGTGGATACTCTGAGCACTCGCAGCACAGAGCGCATGTTCTCTGGCCGATTGGCCATTCCCTTCTACACGTGAGTGAACCCTCATCCCTTTACAGCCCCCCCCCCTACATGAGAGGCTATGGACACTCTAAGCGCTCACTGCGCTCGCAGCACTCACTGCGCTCGCAGCACTCACTGCACTCGCAGCACTCACTGTGCTCGCAGCACTCACTGTGCTCGCAGCACTCACTGCGCTCGCAGCACTCACTGCGCTCGCAGCACTCACTGCGCTCGCAGCACTCACTGCGCTCGCAGCAGAAGGGATGTTCTCTGGCCAAGTGGTCATTCGCTTCTGCATGTGACCGCTCTTTTTTCCCCTTTCCCCTGCCCTCTTACTGTTTAGCGAGGGTGAGAGATCAACAGATTATCCAGAGTGCGAGGGAGGAGAGACGCAGTGTAAGAGAGGGAGAGGAGCAGAGTGTGAGGGAGGAGAGGAGTACAGAGAGAGACAGGTAGGGATGCTGCTCCTGTTGCTCCTGCTGTTGCTGCTGCTGCTGCTGCTGCTACTGCTGCTGCTGCTGCTGCTACTGCTGCTGCTCCTGCTGCTCGTGTTGCTGCTGCTGCTGCTGCTGCTGCTGCTGCTACTGCTGCTGCTGCTCCTGCTGCTCCTCATTCCAAGGCGGTTTTCTTTCGTCTCTCACCCTTTTAGCCCCTCACTTGACCTCTTACTGACCCTGTTTCTTGATTGTGCAGGGTGGTTTTTAGAATTCTCAAGAACACCCTCACTTGACCTCTGACCCTGTTTCTTGTTCTCTCTCAGCTGGTTTTTCAGGCGCCTTGAAATTGGCTGGAATTCTGACCCTTTTAACAGCTGGACCCCTGACTGACCCTGTTACTTGTTCGTTCCTGGCAGCTGGTTTTTGAGGCACCTCCAAAATCGGCTTAATCTCTGACCCTTTAGCTTTTTCCCTCTCAGCTGGCGACCTACTGAGGAGAGCAGCATTCTTCAACGAAGGGCGCCCTTCATGGGGTTTGGTTCCGCGTTCAAGTCACCTTTCCTGCTCTCTCTCCTCTGTCGTTTGCTTTTGAGGCGCCTCGAAACTAGACTCCTATCACGTTGGTTCCGCGTTCAAGTCACCTTTCCTGCTCTCTCTCCTCTGTCGTTTGCTCGCACTCCTTCTGTCTCGCCCTTGTCCCTCTCAGGTGGCTACCCACCCAGGAGAACAGAGCACTGTGGCACGCAGGGGAGAGGGTGAGACGGCTGTCCCTGGACCTCATTGCAAGGAGGAGGAGTTCCCAGGCGGTGAGTGTTTGGGGGGAGAACAGAGCACTGCGACAGGCAGGGGAGAGGGTGAGACGGCTGTCCCTGGACCTCATTGCAAGGAGGCGACAAGAGCAAGTGGTGAGTGCTTGAGTTGTTTGAGGTGCGAAGGGAAGCTGGAGGGGACAGGAGAACAGAGCACTGCAGCAGGCAGGGGAGAGGGTGAGACGGCTGTCCCTGGACCTCATTGCAAGGAGGAGAAGTTCCCAGGAGAAATTCTCCTCCTTGCAATGAGCGAGCTCCAGGGACAGCCGTCTCACCCTGAGAGTTGCTTGAGGGGACAAGTGGCGAAAGTGGAGAGCACGAGAGGACAGAATTATGCAGCAGTGGAACCATTTTTTAGGATTCTCAAAAATGCAGCAAGCAGGGGAGAGGGTGAGACAGGCTGCCGCCGGAGCTGATTGCAAGCGGGAGAAAAGCAGAGACCGTGCGATAAGAGATGTCTCAAAAAATAGATTATTATCACACTTATCGCAAGGAGGTGAAACTCACCGAGAGCGAAAATTTGAGTTGTTGAGGGGAGGAGTGGGAGAAGCGGGGAGAAGGAGAGGATGCATTAATGCATCTCTCCTATTCTGCACTTGGAAGGAGAGACAATTTTCTATAGCCTTGACTTTTGAGTCGACTCAAAAGTCACAAGTGACCTCGTTTTGAGTCGACTAAAAAGTCAATGTCGCCTCATTTTTTAGTCGACTCAAAGGACTTCTGCACCTGGAAGGAGAGACCAGTATTCCTAAAAAGTAAGAAGTCGCCTCGTTTAGAGTCGACTCAAAAGTCCTATGCAGTTGGAAGGAGAGACAATATTCGTAACCCTTGACGATGCTGGCAGCCGGGGACCCTCCCTTACCTCGTTCCTAATACCGTGGCGTCTATTCAGTCTTTGGATTCCCCTCATTCATCTTTGAGGCGCCTCAAAAATATTCCCCATATAAAATCCGCATGAAATGAGACGATTTTTGAGGCGCCTCAAAAATATTACCATGGCGTCCATTCCGCCTTTGGATTCCCCTCATTCATCTTCCTCCCCCGCAACTTGGCTCTCCCACCCCCCAACCCCCCCCCCCCAATGGAACGTGCTCTATCCTGGTTGACACAGGCAAGGCTTTGCCGCCAGGGCTGCTGGCAGGGGGCTGCTGGCAGGGATGGTGGCAGGGATGGTGGCAGGGATGGTGGCAGGGATGGTGGCAGGGATGGTGGCAGGGATGGTGGCAGGGATGGTGGCAGGGATGGTGGCAGGGATGGTGGCAGGGATGGTGGCAGGGATGGTGGCAGGGATGGTGGCAGGGATGGTGGCAGGGATGGTGGCAGGGATGGTGGCAGTGCATGCATGCCGTCGTGCCATGTTCAGAGTGCCATGTCAAGTGCCATGTTCAGAGTGCCATGTTCAGAGTGCCATGTTCAGAGTGCCATGTTCAGAGTGCCATGTTCAGAGTGCCATGTTCAGAGTGCCATGTTCAGAGTGCCATGTTCAGAGTGCCATGTTCAGAGTGCCATGTTCAGAGTGCCATGTTCAGAGTGCCATGTTCAGAGTGCCATGTTCAGAGTGCCATGTTCAGAGTGCCATGTTCAGAGTGCCATGTTCAGAGTGCCATGTTCAGAGTGCCATGTTCAGAGTGCCATGTTCAGAGTGCCATGTTCAGAGTGCCATGTTCAGAGTGCCATGTTCAGAGTGCCATGTTCAGAGTGCCATGTTCAGAGTGCCATGTTCAGAGTGCCATGTTCAGAGTGCCATGTTCAGAGTGCCATGTTCAGAGTGCCATGTTCAGAGTGCCATGTTCAGAGTGCCATGTTCAGAGTGCCATGTTCAGAGTGCCATGTTCAGAGTGCCATGTTCAGAGTGCCATGTTCAGAGTGCCATGTTCAGAGTGCCATGTAGTGCCATGTTCAGAGTGCCATGTTCAGAGTGCCATGTTCAGAGTGCCATGTTCAGAGTGCCATGTTCAGAGTGCCATGTTCAGAGTGCCATGTTCAGAGTGCCATGTTCAGAGTGCCATGTTCAGAGTGCCATGTTCAGAGTGCCATGTTCAGAGTGCCATGTTCAGAGTGCCATGTTCAGAGTGCCATGTTCAGAGTGCCATGTTCAGAGTGCCATGTTCAGAGTGCCATGTTCAGAGTGCCATGTTCAGAGTGCCATGTTCAGAGTGCCATGTTCAGAGTGCCATGTTCAGAGTGCCATGTTCAGAGTGCCATGTTCAGAGTGCCATGTTCAGAGTGCCATGTTCAGAGTGCGCCCGGCAAACACCTCTTCACACTGATGCTGCTGGCAGCCAGGGACCGTCCTTCCTTTACCTCCATTCAACCCCATTCACCTCCATTCACCTCCATGCACCTCCATGCACCTCCATTTCCTTGCTTCAGTCGGCCGCCTCCCACCCTCCCACCTTATCCCTCCTCCTCTCCCCCCTTGTCTTGTATCCAGGGCGAGCCCGGCAAGGACCGGCTGGCAGGGATGCTGGCAGCCAGGGACCGTCTTTTCGTTGACGTGTATTCCATATTCCTTGTGTTCTGCTCATTTATCCCTCTCCTCCTCCCCCGAGGTGACTTTTGACTTTTGAGTCGACTCAAAAGTCATCCCTCTCCTCCTCCCCCAAGGTGACTTTTGAGTCGACTCCAAAGGCTTTCCCTTGCTGTGTATTCCTTGTGTTCTGCTAATTTATCCCTCTCCTCCTCCCCCTTGACTTGTCTTATATTCAGCGCGAGCCCGGCAAGGACCTGCTGGCAGTTATGCTGGCAGCCAGGGATGACGTCAGCAACGAGCAGATGACGGATCAGCAGCTGGTGGACGAGTGTGTGACGTTCCTCGTGGCTGGTAGGGTGTGGTGGAGTGCGGTGATGAGCGGTGATTCATGGTCAACTGGGGTATGCTGGCACGACACCCCGAGTGGCATGGCAGACGAGGCTGCGGGAGGGAGGAGGTTATGATTTCACGCTTTACCATCCCTTCCCATCCCTTACTGTCCGCAGGCCACGAGACAACAGCCAAGCTGCTGACATGGGCGGTCTACCTGCTGGCTCGACACCCCGAGTGGCAGAGGAGACTGCGGGAGGAGGCGCTGCGTGTGATGGGGGGGGGGAGAAGGGGAAGGGGAATAACGGAGAGGGAAACGAAGAAGGGGAGACGGGGGAGGGAGAAGGGGTGGGGAAGCAGGGCGAAGGGAATAGGGGCGGAATGAAGGTGATGTGGCAGCACGTGGGGCAGCTGAGGGAGATGCACATGGTGCTGCAGGAAACACTGAGGCTCTTCCCGCCCACTCCTGTCATTAGCAGAGAGGCCAGCAAGGTGAGAGTCAGCAAGGTGAGAGTCAGCAAGGTGAGGAAGAAGCAAGGGGAGTGAGATGCGGGCCAAGGGAGGAAGGAACAAAGAAGGGATGGGAGCACGTGGGGCAGCTGCAGGAGATGCACCTGGCGCTGCTGCTGGAACTCAGGCTCGTCCCGGCCACTCCTGTCGTTAGCAGGGAAGCAAGGAACGAACACGAATGAACAGTCATCCGTGTAACTACAAGGAGGGTTGACAGGGTGGCATGGGAGCACGTGGGGCAGCTGCAGGAGATGCACATGGCGCTGCTGCTGGAAACACTCCGGCTCTTCCCGGCCACTCCTGTCATCAGCAGGGAGGCCTGTGTGGTAAGGAAGGAGGCATCTTTTGAGTTGACTCAAAAGTCACCAGTGTGGTAAGGAAGGAGGCATCTTTTGAGTTGACTCAAAAGTCACCAGTGTGGTAAGGAAGGAGGCATCTTTTGAGTCGACTCAAAAGTCACCAGTGTGGTAAGGAAGGAGGCATCTTTTGAGTCGACTCAAAAGTCACCAGTGTGGTAAGGAGGCATCTTTTGAGTCGACTCAAAAGTCACACGTGTGGTAAGGAGGCAATCTTTTGAGTCGACTCAAAAGTCACCAGTGTGGTAGGGAGGCATGCATCCCAGGTATTAAAATCTCCCAAACCAAGTCACGTACACCTTACCCAGAGGTGACCCTTCCCCATATCTATTCCCAGTGTGGTGACCCTTCCCCATATCTGTTCCCACATCATTCCCAGTACTTCTTTCCTTCTCATACCCACAACCAGCCACCCAGGACGTCTCCCTCCGTCCCTTCTCATTCCCACCGGACACACACACGGATCACAATTGCCATGTTGCACTGTGACTCCCCCCCCTTTCCCCCCTACCCCCCCCTAGCACACTCACCAAGACACATCTCTCGGTCCCTACTCAATCCCGGCGGTCACACGGACCATGATCGAAATTGCCATGATGCACTGAGACTTCTCCCCCTTTCCTGCTCTCCCTCATGTTCACTGTGACGCTTCCACAGTACCCCCTATCCCCATCCCTGTCCGCCGTCCACTAGTACATGGGAATTCAGGACGTATCCCTCAGTCCCTACTCAATCCCAGCGGGCACGCGGATCATGATGGCCATTGCCATGGTGCAGACAGTGACCTTTCCTCCTTCCCGTCCCCACTTCCCCCTCCCTCCCTTCCCATTCCCACACACGCATTCACACCTCAGGACACATCTCTCGGTCCCTACTCCATCCCAGCGGGCACGCGGATCATGATGGCCATTGCCATGGTGCAGAGCGACCCTCGCTTCTGGGGGGAGGATGCTTTGGAGTTCAACCCATTGAGGTTCAAGGGTGAGTGCAAAACCGCAGGCTGATATTGCCATGGTGCAGAGCGACCCTCGCTTCTGGGGGGAGGATGCCTTGGAGTTCAATTCAACCCACTAAGGTTCAAAGGTGAGCTTCGAGTAGGCGATATCCGAATGGGCCTTTGGACTATCCAAGACGGGTGCAGAGCGACCCTCGCTTCTTTGGGAGGGGGGAGGGGAGGGGATGGATTTTAGATCAGCCCTTTAAAGCCCAGGTCCCAAATTAGACAAGCAGGCATCAAACTGGGCCCAGTTTGATGCTGACCGCGCTCGCAAACTACCAAAAAAAAAAAAAAACGAACCAACTACCCCTTCGCCACAGTGAGAGGCAAAATCGAGGTTGGTATATCTACGGTGGAAATCAACTTTGCAACTGGGCCCAGTTTGATTCGTGTAGTTTCCACCGTTGGATCGGGCTTGCCAAACCCAACTCCCATAAAACCCTGCTCTTGCTAGGTTTCCAATCAACGGCTGTAACCGTGCTTACAAATTGGGACTTAATGTCTCCCTGCGTCTCAGCCATCAGATCCGCGTTCGGCCCAAATTGAACTCACCCCAAATCAAACTGGGCCCAGCTTGCATACGAAATCCTGCACGAAGTAACAGAATCACAATTTCCGAACCCAAAACACAATTGGTTTTTCCACCCGCCCAGCTCAAATTCTGCCAGTTGACTTGCGTGAACTAATTTGAGATCTGGGCTTTGAGGTTCAAATGTGAGTGGCTTTTTTTTTGTGGGGGGGGGGGGGGGGGGACGACTCATAACAGTTCAACCAACAGTTGAACAAGGTGAGCACTGTATACTCAAGTGTGGCATAAACAACTCCACCTGCTATTACCAAGGATGCATCTCACCCCATTATGGTTTCTTTTCTTCACATGCAGATGGGGTGCAGGGAGCATGTTCCCACCCTCAAGCCTTCGTGCCTTTCTCAGCCGGCCCTAGGGACTGCATCGGCTCAAACTTTGCTCTGACAGAGGCCAAGGTTGTCCTTGCGCATTTGCTAAGGCATCTCGAGTGGGAGCTGTCACCCACGTACGTACACTTGCCGATTAATGGGATCACGCTTAGCCCTAAATACGGTATGCCGCTTCGTATGAGGTTGGTGGAGTAGCCCTCGATCTTCGTGATGGACGTGTGCGATTTTGTTATCTGCCTTTATGCCGCCAATACTTAGTGCTCTGTGTGTAAGCTACTAGTCCTAAATGGCTTTAAAAAAAAATATCCAATAAGGATGTTTCGAGGGCTTGAAGATTTTGTCATGGGTATAGCAATCGCCATTTGTTTTTGTTTTTGGGTATAGCTTGTACAAGTGCATATCAGAAAATTGAATGATAGTGATAGGGGGAGAGTACACACAATATAGATAAGTGTTGTACCCTCTAAGAGGCTACCCTATACAGTCTATACAAACATAACAAATAGACATGTTTGACACACCCCCTAGACTGCATAGGGGAAAGTCCTAAACAAACAGCTCAGGGCGGCACTACTAGTCCAACCTCTGAGACAAGGGTCTGAGCGACCAGTCAGAAGGAGTACAGACAAGGCAAGCAAAGAGCAGGGCGGCACTACTAGTCCAGCCACTGGGAGAGGACACAAGTCCAGTCTGAGTATACATATAAAGGACAGTACAAAGTCAAGGTCCTAGCAAGTGAGAGGCTACAGGAACTAGACCAAGCTGTACACAGTGCCGCTGATGATCTTTAGGCGCAAGCACCTTCGTAAAGATATCAGCCGTGTTGGCATCTGAGGCCAAGTGTACTACGCGAGCCTGACGTCGTTGCTGTAGCTCACGCAGGAGGAAGTACCGCAGCTGAATGTGCTTCGCTCTGCCCTCGAGTCGAGGCTCCTGACACAGGAGGATCATGGCCCTGTTGTCAGCGAACAGGACCGGGGCAGAGCTAGGTCGCTCACCTAAGTCAGTGAGCAAGAAGGTCAGCCAGCGGAGCTCCTGTGCCGCCATGGCACCGGCGTAGATCTCAGCCTCACAGCTGGACTGTGCAACAGACGAGGAGCGAGTAGCTCTCCACGAGACGGCACCTGAGCCAAGGCTGAAGCAGTAGCCCTGGGTAGACCGGAGTGTCTCAGCGTCGTCTGCCCACGAAGCGTCTGTGTGCCCAGTAAGGACCGCTGGCCTGCGTCCTCCTAGCACTAACCCCATGCCCGATGTCCTAGCAAGATAACGCAGAACCCTCTTAGCGGCAGACCAGTGCTGCGGTCGGTGTCTGCCTGTGGCCACAAAGCGAGCCAGGATGCTGAGAGGGTATGCGAGATCTGGGCGAGTGCAAGTCATCAGGTACATGAGGCAACCCACCAGCTCTGCGTAGGGGCCGCTGGGCTCTACCAACTCCTCAGGCACTGGAGCGGAGAGCCTGTGGTCTACAGGCAGAGGGGTGGGCTGTGCAGAGGAGAACTGAAGGCTGAACCTCTGAAGGACCTGGCGCACCAAGTGTGACTGAGTCAGGGTGATGGTGCGCGCAGCTCTGTCCCTGGAGATCTGCAAGCCAAGGTAACGGCGCAGTTCTCCAAGGTCAGTGCAGGTGTGTCTCTTCAGCAGCTCTGCCTTCACGGAGGCCAGCGCGTCCCTGTCTGCTGTGGCAAAGACCAGGTCGTCGACGTAGACGAGGATGTAGAACGGAGTCTGGCCAGCACGAACGAAGAGTGAAGGGTCTGCAGAAGACGGAAAGAACTGCAGGTCATCAAGCGTAGCACGCAGAGTGTCGTGCCACTCACGGGGAGCCTGGCGCAGGCCGTAGACGGGACGCCGCAGGTGTGAGAGTACGACACCGTTACACCACTTGGCCTTTTTCATATTTCATCTTCATTTCATTCCTCTTTTATCTCATCTCCTTTTGCCTCATATTCCCCATTTTCCATTATCCTTTGGTTTCTTCCCTTATTATAATTATATCACCGACCAAGCATGGAATGTTCTAGACACGCTATCTAGCGTAATCCTCTCGTAATCTCTTCAAGCCAATAGCCTCGCGTGGCTATACGCAGGGTGATTCTATTTTCTAGAAGGGTCTATTCCTTTAGATAGGATAAACCTGGTTACCTGATGTACTCTGGAAGTATAAAAGCGCCTTGTACTGATCGATAGTGCAACCTTTCCTCGACACATTCGATCCTGTGACACTTGGTAATCAGAGCTTTTCTCACTCGGCCGCGCTCAGCTAAGCAGCAGCAGCGGGGATCCTGCCTCGAAAAACCGCCGGGGGCGACCAATTCGACGCCGATTCTGGTAAGCACCAGCTCCGCGATTCTCGAATTACCCCCTCCGTGCGTGTTTTGAACAGGATGGCAACCTTCGACAACGCCGAGGTTACCCAGCAGCTCTTCGCGCGCATCGCAGCCCTTCAGGAGGAAATGCGAGCGGATCGCGAAGCGTGGCGAAACCAGTTCGAGCGAGTAACTCGACTCGCCGGAGCGCAGCACGAGACGACAACGGCGACGACGCAGCAGTCGCAGCAGTTTCTCGAGGCTCCGAAACCGCGCCCACCTGAGCCGTTCGATCCGAGCGATCGAAACTCCGACGCCCGCAGATGGATCGCCGGAATGGAGATCTACTTCGCAGCCGTCGGATGGAGCTCGCCAGTCTGGGACGGTCAACGCGTACGACTCGCGGCGACACTAATGCGAGGGCCGGCACTCGAGTGGATTGGCGGCAACAGTACTTTCATCCACGGTGAAGCCACGTGGCAGCAGTTCCGCGCCGACCTGCTGAAACGCTTCGAACCGATAAATTCAAGTTTTCTTGCCCGCGAAAAAATTCATCGTCATCGACAGTTCGGGAGTGTATCACAGTACACGCAGCAGATGGAAGAATTTTATAACCGCATTCCCGACCTGACCGAAGGGGAAAAAGTGCAATCGTACCTCGCAGGGCTGAAGACCGAAGTCAAACGACAGGTGGCAGCGTCAAACTACGCGAGCTACAGTGACGTCGTTTCGGCCGCGGAGCGCTTCGACATGGTCAACGCCGGAACACGACGGACGCACGTCGGCAGTACGTGACAGGGCGACCGCTCGGCTCACCCCACGTTCGCCGACCCGATGGAAGTCGACAGATTCGAGGGGCGGCCACGTCCGAAAAACACCAACTACACGTGTGATTTTTGCGGGGTGCCGGGCCACCGAATCTTCGACTGCAACAAAATGAAGGCCGCACGCGCAGAGTATCGGGCACGCAACAGTGGCGGAAATCTTTCGGCCAATCAGAAGACAAAAAACGGGAGTCGCCAGTGATTGCGGATCTAGCTGGCGAAAATAAAAAGATCCGAAAGCGGCCGCGGGATTCCGGAAAAATCAACTTCGACGAAGCTGATTCGACGCGAGAAGGAGGAAATGATGGGGGAAAATCTCCACCCCACGACCAGTCTTCGCCAGGGAAATTCGCCGAGGAAAAATCAGACTCCACGAAAAAAGACTCTGCCGAGACAGGGAAACTCCTTGAAGACCCAAGAAATTATAAGAGTTCGTTAAAGTTATCTTATAAAGATGCTTTAATGAAAACTTATGATGTTCGAGGGGCTAGAGCCTTGGAGAAATTTCGGGAGGGACTCCAAAAGAAGCAGACAGCTGTGGAGATTATACCGGTACCGGACAACTTGGGGACCAAATTAAGGAGTGTGGAAAGAAGCCGACCTTTCCACGGAGTCAACGTCCTCTCCCGACACCAGCCCACAACGACTACCCGCTCCCCAGGGAAGACGTCGGTGGAGCTGAAGCAGCTCAAGAGGAAGCTGGGGGTCTACAAGAAGCTGCAAAAACCCCGAACTCCTTCTACGGATGCATCCAGTTCTTCGGCATCAGTGACGCGCACAGTCGTCAAGGAAACTCCGGGCCCTGGAGAAGAGCCGTTCTCCAAGCAGCCTCGGCCAGCTGCCAGCTCAGGAGTAGACAGCAATACAAAGGTGTGTACGGAATATTGGGATGTACCCTATGACCCAATCAATGAAACTATCTTTGGGTACTCCGAGCAACGACTGCCCCTCGTGCTCGAGGTCATCTGCAAAGGACGACGCCTCCAAGCACTCATGGACAGCGGAGCGTCACACACCGTCTGCGACAAGGCAATGATCGACCGACTCCGGGAAGAGTACAAGCCTTCAGGATTCTCTGCAACGATGGTGGATGGCAGCAAGTTACCAGTACACGGCGAAGCAGTGCTACATCTACAAATCGGACCACTGCGCTGGAGACCTGCACTCCCCATCACCAACATCAAAGGGCTTGACTTGATCTTCGGGCGAGACTTCCTGAAAAAATTCAACCCCGAGATCAACTGGGTGAACCGCACCGCAAGCATCTACAACAAAGGACGGAGAGTACAGCTACCCAACTGGGACGATACAGGAGATATCCCAGTGGAGACACTCGCACGGTTCGAGAAGGATGTGAAGCGGACCGACACCGGGTTCCTGGCGATAGCAACAGAGGTGGAGAATGACGGAGAGAAAGCCTCGGAAACTCCAGGAAAAATCAAGGAATTGCTGAAGGAGTTCCAAGACATTCTTCCTGACGACCTACCGAACGAGCTACCGCCATACCGCACACATCAACATGAGATCGTGGAGGAACCAGGTTCGAAGCCGACCTTCCGAGCACCATACCGGCTCAGCCCTACGGAGCTGACCGACATGAAGAAGCAGATCGAGTATCTCCTAGCCAAAGGACTCATCCGACCATCTACTTCGCCATACGGTGCCCCAGTACTCTTCACACCGAAACCGGACGGAAGCCTGCGCATGTGCATCGACTACCGAGCTCTTAACAAGCAGACCATCAAGAACAAATATCCGATACCGCGAATCGATGACCTGCTTGACCAGCTTCGGGGAGCTACGGTATTTTCCAAACTGGATCTGCGGTCCGGATACTGGCAGATACGGATGGCGGACAACTCTATCCACAAAACTGCTTTCCGAACTCGGTACGGATCGTATGAGTATTTGGTCATGCCGTTCGGACTCACCAACGCGCCGGCAACGTTCCAAGCCGAAATGAACCACATTCTACGACCACTTCTAGACGAATGCGTGGTGGTGTACCTGGACGACATACTCATCTACTCGCGCGACATGAAGCAACACGTCGAACACCTGCGACGCGTCTTCGAAATTCTTCGACGAGAACGATTCTACGTCAAACTATCCAAGAGCGAATTCGCCCTTGAAAAGGTCCAGTTCCTAGGACACTTGGTGAGCGCTCAAGGAGTTCACGTCGACCCCAAGAAAGTCGAAGCCGTACGTACGTGGAAGACACC